TCTTGCTCAGGCTGGTCTCGAACTCCTGAGCTCAAACAATCCGCCCGCCTCGGCCTCCCAGAGAGCTAGGATTACAGGCGTGAGCCACCGCGCCCAGCCTGGGTCGGTGTCTTCTTCCTAGTCCCCTGTGAGTCCCTCGCTCACTGACTCTGGCTGGACCTGCCCTTTCCTCCTGGCCTCTCCCCAGGGTCCACTGGAGTCGCACCTGCCTTCAGGGGCTGGCTCCAGGCCCCACTAGCTTTGCTTCTCTGCCGCATCCTCCTGGCACCTTGCCTGTGCCCCGCGCTCTTGCCCACCTCACCCCCATCCGACTGCGAGGCACTGGGGGCAGGAAGTGGGTCCTGTTTTGTCACCTCGTTGCCTCGGCAAAGCACCTTGTGTAGAGTAGGTGCCAAACAGGTGTGGCCTGATCGGAGCCCGGCGGCGGGACAGCCTCTGCTCTGACAGCTGCGGAACAAGGCAGGGCTGCGCGGGGGCCCCGCATACTCCGTGGAGCTGCTTTCGGCAGCTGCTGGACCCTCGCTGAAGCTCGCCAGGTTGTCACCAGTTTCCCACCCTCATAACTGACGTGGTGACGCCTGTTTCTGTGGGAGGACCTCTGCCAGGATTACTCCTCCGTGTCGGGGGCAGGCCGTGAGCAGGATCATGGGGCGAGGACCTGAGCCTGGTGGGAAGCTGGCAGGGCCGGGAGGGAGCTGACCAGCTGGCAGTTCGTCTCTGCATGCCCCGTGGGCTGCAGAGCAACGAGGAAAAGACATTTGTGTGCTGCTCCTATGCAGGCAGCGACCTCAGCACTCCACGAGCACCGGGCACTTGGTCCTCTCCCGAAGCCTCCTGGTGTGACAGATCTGTAGGGCAGAGCCAGGACCACCCCAGGCCATTGGTCTGTGCTCTCTGCCATGGGCCGCACTGCAGGGCTCAGGCAGTGTTTGGAAAAAAGTCCCTGCCGGGCTTCAGAGGTGGCACCGGACGCTGAGCCTGCAGGGGTGTGGGCAGCTGGGGCAGGGGCCCAGCACCCTGAGCAGAGTCTGCGTCTTGTCCTAACCTGGCCACATTTCACCTGGCTGCACGTTTTGGGGAGGAGAGCTCACCAAGGGAGCAAGCACCAAATCCCTCCCCAGTGGTGGTGGCAGCGGACAGGCAGTCTGCCTGCCACCGTGGCTGTGAGCTCTCGGCAAGTGACTGGACTTCTCTGAGCCTCAGTTTTCTCCTCTGTACAATGGGGAGAGCATGTGTAGGAGGCTCAGCCCAGACTGCGAGCTGCGGCGAGAGGCCCAGGGACGCTGCTATCCCTGACTGTCAGGGCGACCAGCGTCTGGTAAAGACAAAGCTTCTACCCGGCAAAACCTTGTACACAAAGACAAAAGAGAAACAACAAATAGGGAAACATTTGCAAATCATCACAGACCGGGAGCTAACTTCTCTAATATAAATAAGGTGCCTACAAACTGGTAAGAAAAACAGGCACGGGACAGGAACAGAGCGTTCACGGGAAACGCAATGTGAATGATCTCTAACTCCTGAAAGGATGCTCCAGCTCACTCTGGAACGGATAAGCAAACTCAGCAGCTGCCCTGAGACAGCCTTCTCTTCTCTCAACTAGGCAGAATCCCGCGGGTTGGTGGGACCCTAGGGAAAGGGACCCTCCTGGTGCCCTGCGCCACACAGGCCGGCACAGCCCAAGGAGGCAGCTTGGCAAATCCACCCGGACTGCGCATGCATCTGCTCCAACCACCGTCCCACTTTCAGGGACGTGTCCTTCAGAAACACTTGCCTCTGAACAACCTCACGCACAAAGTCATGTGCTGCTGTGTTGTTTTTAGCACCAAAAACTGAAAAGGTCTCAGTGTCTATCCAAGGGGACGATGATGAGCAGAACGACGCGTAGCCCGAGACAGCACGGGAGCTCCGCGTGCGGACATGGCATTGCCCACCAGGTGCAAGGAAGTGAAAGCAGCCGTTGCAGAGCAGCGTGTGAGAGTGTGGGGTTTGGTGGGGTCACACAGGCACCCCCTGACATCCAAATGCAAGCGATCTGACCTCAGGGGACAGGTCAACTGGACATTTCTGTGAGATGTGCTCCGAGGAAGATCCTCCTCCTCACATCTGGGTGAAGACTCCAAGGCCCAGGCAGGTGAGTGACCGCAGAGTCCCAGGGTGCCGGCACAGCCCTAAGCCTGGCTCCTTCCAGCCCTGTGCAGTGTCACCTCCTCCCAGGGCCCTCCTCACCCACAGCCTGTGGTTGGCTGCTCCCTGCCCGCGTGCCTGCTGGGACTCTGCACTGGGCCGAGTGACCGCACTCCCTGGGCTGCTGTCGGGGCAGAGGACCCACAGAGCTCTCAGGAAGGGCTCACTTGAGACCCCTGGCCACTCACGTGGGCAGGGGAGCCCTCCCTCTGGAGGGTGCCAGGATCAGCACTTCCCGAGGTGTCCAGACTGGGTTCCCCGCAAAGGCCCAGCATGGTGGGGCCTGGGAACTTCCTGGCCTTGGACGGAGGGAGCCTCTTACCTGTCGCTCAGGTCTATGCGGCTCCATCAGCTTCACCACCTGCCCCTGCTGCACCAGGATGACCTGGGAGTCCCCCAGCCAGGCGACATGTAGGGTTGTTCCTGCGATGAGCGCACACACACCTGTGGTGCCGCTCTGCAGCCGCTGTGGGGAGAGAGGGCCCACGCGGTGTGAGGTGGGGCTGGGCACCCCCCGTGGGCACACACTGTCCAGACCGAACAACCTCAGCAACGAAGGCGACTGAGCCCCTGAGCTGTGCAACGGCAAGAAGACTCTCGTAATGACTGCACCGCGTGAAAGAAGGGCACGTCCTGTAGCGTCCGGCTCATATCGGACTCTGGAGAATGCAAACTCGTCTGTGGTGTCCGAAGGAAGGTGAGTGGCTGTCTGGGGAGTGGGCAGGGAAGGGCGGGAGGGCAAAGGCCGACCAAGGGCAGATGGAGCTTCTGGAGGTGATGAACGTGTCGGTCACTGCGGTGAGGGGGTCACAGTGCACATACTGCATAAACCCAAACGCCAGATTGCGTATGTGAAGTGTGCACAGCCTACTCCATGTCAGCTGTTTAAGGAAAATAATACACTGAATACCTGCTTTGGAGAATCCTTTCCCTACTCCGAGAGGCAGCCCTGTCACCTCCCGGGGTGTCAGCCTTTCGCCGGGCTCCCCTGTGCAGCTGGGGACATTGCGTGGTTTCAGTTGAGACGCAAAGTCTGGTTCTGCTGGTTTCCATTAAGGTCTGTGCTCTGGGCGTGTGACGATGGCGCATGTCTCCCCACTGGGGCAGTTAGAGCCTCAGTTTCCCAATGTCCAAAATGGGCACAATATTAATCTCCACCTCACAGGGCTGCCAGGAAGACCCCGGGAAATTGTGCAGGTGGGTTCAGAGGGGAAGCTCACAGGGGAAGGGGCTGTTGTGTCTGTGTTCTTTCTTCTTTCAGAGACAAAGGCCTCGATCTACACATGGCTATAAACCTTGAGGAAAGCAATGTCCCCTGCAGACACCAGTGGCCTGCTGGGACCCCGCCTATAAGAGCAAGGGGAAGTGGGTGGTGTACGGATTGTGTTTTCACTTCCTGTACTTTATGATGTTTCTACACACCCCGGGGCCTTGTTGATGTGGAGAGACTGCCCTCCCAGGGCTGGCGAACTCCTAGAGGTTGGGCACGGGGGACAGGAAGGCTCCGGCCAAGCTTACCCCCTCCCCTCTCACTCCTGCCTGACCCTGGAGCTTCCCTGGTGGCCCTGCGTGGCATGGCATGACATGCCCCTCCCCTTCGGAACTGTAAGTAATAAACTCTTGTTTCAAGGCACTGGTCTCTGTGTCTGTCACTTTGCCATACCCAATTAAAACAAAATCCTGGGAACATTTTAAAACAGGCTATCCTTCCCCACACGGCCCGCAGACCCTCTGCGGCAGGGCAGGTCCCTGTGGCCAAGGGGCCCAGCGTGCAGGATCGGGACAGGCTTTGTGCTACTTCTGTTCCCATGAGAATGAGCCCCCCTCACTATGAGAAGGAAATGATGTGATCTCCAGCAGCGCCCAGTGAGGACCTTCTGGCAGCAACGACCACTTGGGTTTCCTTCCTTTGGCAGAGGCTGGGACTCTCCACCGGCCTCTAAACTCACCCGAGGCCCGGCTGCTCGTTCTCACCTCTCGCTTGGCTTTCCTGAGAAACATCTGGTCGGTGAGCCGGAAGGCTTCCCCAAGGGCTCCCTCCGGGTCTGTGGGCAGCTCTGGCTGGCGGGCAGCGTTGGCGTGCACGTGAACAGCGGCGTACCTCGCGGCGTCCACCCCTCCGTGACCGTCAAACACGGCAAAGTAGGCGCGGTCCACAGGGTCCTGCGGGGAAGGCAGTGGGAGTCACAGACCTGCTGGCCTCGTACCAGTCGCTCCTGCGTGGGGTGGGGCCCAGGCACTGGGCGAGGAGGGGTCTGGAAGAATTGGCAGGGGCCTTCGCCTGCAGCAGGGCAGCCTGGCGCCTGCACTGTGAGCGGAGAGACTTGGAAGAGGGTGGCCCTTGGGAGCCCTCAGTTACCATTTGCGTCCCGTTGCTACCAGCATAAAACGAGGGGAGGTGCCCCAGATGGCTCCTAGTGCCAGAGGCCGAGCAGAGCTCTGCAATCCTGGGCTTGGGGAGAACTTGGCGCTGGGATGGTGAACCGGGCCTCCCAGACCCCCTGGGAAGGGCTTTGAGAGCTGCCTGCACCTCAGCCTTGAGAAGGCAACTGATGAGTGTCTCCCTGGCCTGGGCTTTGGTGGGCAGCTGTCCTTGGCACCCAGGGGCCCCCAGCCCCTGCTCCGGCCCCCTGAAAGCTGTCCCCAGGGCCCTGCAGGGGGAGCACTCACGGACAAGCCGAAGAGCTGGTTGAAGGCAGGAAGGGCCACGTGCCGGTCCTCCATCTTGCGGCGAGTGTTCCGGATGGCATGGATGGACACCAGCCATTGTCGCGGCAAGGTCCTGGCAGTAGGCGGCACTTGCTTCTGCCACTGGCTGGCGACTTCCCAGAGCAGGTTAAAGAAACTCCGTGCCAGGCCTTGGGCATCCAGCACTGATGGGCACGACGGAGGGAGGGTCAGGGCAGTGGCCACCCAGCCAGCTGAGGCTCCCGCTGCCCTGTCCCTGCTGTCCAGGCAGCCTCAGCTCTCCAGGCAGCCCCCACCACCAGCCGTCCCCTCCACGCACATTCTGAGCCCCAACCTAACAAGCTACACCTGGCAGAGTCTGTCATCACAATTAGGAATGTCTGGTTTGGCACTATGTCACGGAAGGCACCCGCCCCATGATGAGGCAACTCCACTCAGGGGAACCCACCCTAAGGAATCATCGAAAATAAAAAAATACTTCAGGACAAAGTATAGAATCATTTTAAATTGCCCATTAATTAGAAACAATCTATATCCAATGACAGAGGAATGAAAAGTAAATTATGGCCTGTTCCCTTGATGATGAATTAAGCTGCTATTAAAAATGATTTTCATAACTAAACATGCAACTACCACACAACCCAGTAATTGCATTCCTAGGCACTTATCCCAGAAAAATGAAGACTATGTTCACACAAAAACTTGTACATGTTCACAGCAGCTTTATCTGTAATAGCCACAACCTGGACTCAGCCCAGACGTCCTTCAACGTGTGAATGGCTCAACAAACTGTGGTCGCCCCATACCTTGGAACACTACTCAGCAAAGCAAGGAATGAACTCCAACCTGGTTTCAGCTCCAGAGAATTATTCGGGTGAAAAAAGCCAATCTCCCAAAGCCACACGTTTATAAGCATTCGTTGTGGAGTTTTTTGTTTGTTTTTGTTTTTTTAGAGATGGGGTCTCATTCTGTCACCCACGCTGGAGTGCAGTGGCATCATCATGGCTCACAGCAACCTCAAACTCCTGGGCTTAAGCAATTTTCCCACCTCAGCCTCCCAAGTAGTGGAGACTACAGGTGTGTGCCACCACGCCCACCTAATTTTTAAAAATTTTTTTGTAGAGATGGGGTCTCCCTATGTTGCTCAGGCTGGTCTTGAACTCTCAGCCTCAGGCAATCCATCTGCCTTGGCCTCCCAAAATGCTAGGATTACAAGTGTGAGCCACCATGTCAGTTTGCTTTATTGAAATATCAAAATTCTAGAAATGGAGATGAGTGTTTACCAGCAGTTAGGGAAGGGGAATGTGGGCGGAGGTGGCGTCAGGGTGGCCATGAAAGGGTAACATGAGGGATCCCTGTTGATGGAGACAGAGCAGAGATTGAACTGTTCTGTATTTTGACTACGTTAAGACCCTGGTTGTGATATTTTATTATAGTTTTACAAAATGTTACCACGGGAAAAACTGGGTAAAGTGTACACGGATCTCTTCATCTTTTTTTTTTTTCTGAGACAAGGTCTCTCTCTGATGCCTCGGCTGGAGTGCAGTGGTGTCATCATAGCTCGCAGCAACCTCAAACTCCTGGGCTCAAGCGATCCTCCTGCCTCAGCCTCCCCAGTAGCTGGGACTATAGACAAGCCACTGTGCCTGGGTAATTTTTCTATTTTTTGTAGAGATGGGGTCTCACTCTTGCTCAGGCTGGTCTTGAACTCCTGGGCTTAAGCAATCCTCCTGCCTCGGCCTCCCAGAGTGCTGGGATTACAGGCGTGAGCCACTGCGCCTGGCCTCTTCACCTTATTTCTTACAACCGTGTGTGCAGCTGTGACTATCTCAATAAAAAAAGTCTAATTAAAAAAAACAAAAAGATAAGACAAAAATGGACTTTTACCAAGTTTTCAAGCATGTAAAATGCTTACATCATGATAGTAAGTGCAAACAGGAAGACAGAAAGTTACGTATGCAGTTTAATCACAAGCACATAAAAAACCACTTGGGCCCAGAGCGGGTAAAAAAAGGCAGGAACAGCATGCGACCAAAATATCAGCAGTGGGGTCTGTGGGTGGCAGTTCCATGGGTGACGTGTTCCCTCGGTACACTTTTTTTTTTTTTTTTGAGACAGAGTCTTGCTTTGTTGTCCTGGCTAGAGTGAGTGCCGTGGCGTCAGCCTAGCTCACAGCAACCTCAAACTCCTGGGCTCAAGCAACCCTTTTGCCTCAGCCTCCCGAGTAGCTGGGACTACAGGCATGCGCCACCATGCCCGGCTAATTTTTTCTATATATATATTTTAGTTGTCCAGATCATTTCTTTCTAGTTTTTTTTGGTAGAGACGGGGTCTCGTTCTTGCTCAGGCTGGTCTCGAACTCCTGACCTTGAGCGATCCACCCTCCTTGGCCTCCCAGAGTGCTAGGATTACAGGCGTGAGCCACCGCGCCTGGCCTCGGTACACTTTTTAATACTTTCCCAGGTTCCATTACAAGTGTCAGCCCTGTGTGATGGCTTTAATGTCCGTAAGTTCTTTCATATGTCTCCTTCCGAGATGCGGCGCTCGATGCCCTCCCCGTGAGCGTGGGACTTAGTGAGCTGCTGCTGCTGAACAGGACAGCGTGGAAGTGACCACGTGCGGCTTCAGACACTGCACAGTGAAAAGGGCTGAGGCTTCCCAGTGTTCTCCCTGTCTCATCGCTCGATCTGAGGGAGGGCAGCTCCATGCTGTGAGGATGCTCAGGCGGCCCTGCGAAGAGTCCACCTGGGAAGGAACTGACACCTCCCGCCAGGAGCCGAGTGTCCGCAGCACCTCGAAAGAGGCTCCTCCAGCAAGCTGGCACCGGGTGGGCACAACTTTGTGTGAGGTGCCCTGGGCCAGAACCACCCAGCTAAGCTCCCCCCAGCTTCCAGACCCACAGAGACTGTGGGAGAATGAGTGTCTGTTGTTTCAAGCTACTACGTCTTGGGGCAATTTGTTACGTTACAATAAATACACCCTGAATCCCATGGAAGGCCAGCTTCCAAAGGAAAGATGAACAAGGAGCAGGTCCAGAGGAGCTGCAGGGACTCAGTCACCTCTGTGCACAGAGCCCTCCTGGGACTCCTGCCGGTCCAGGTGTGTGTGGCATGCACAGGTGAGGCAGGGCCAGTCACCTGAGGGGCTCAGGGTCAAGTAATTGAAAACAGGGCAGAACCCAAGTGTCGAGGGCCACACCCGAAGGATACGGGGAATTGAGAGAAGGAAGAGCTCCTGCTCTCTGGTGGCGGCTGTGGAGAAAAGCAGCCCGGCCGAGGCTGGAGGGGCCACCACCTAGGAAGAGCCATGAGCCTGAGGGGTCTGTGTGCACAGGAGGCCACAGGAAGACAGCCACAGGGAATACGCGAAGCACGGTGGGGTGGGGGTGTCTAGAGCTGGCTGCTGCCACCACACCCCGCACGAGGGCCCCTTCAAGAACTCGGCAAGAACCTAGGGCCTGGCAGGGCCAGACTACGGGGCCCGAGAATGGATGCCAGCGGGTCCGGCTCAGGGGAGGCAGCTCCACGTGCGTCCGACCCGTGCGTTTGTTTTATGCCAGCACACTTTGGGGAAATTTGTTAAGTAGCAACATACACATCCCGCCAATCAGCGGGAGATTCCCATTCCTCATGGTGCTGCCTCTCTTGCCCTCCTCTTCCTCTCCTCTGTGGACAGCTGTGCCACAGGCTCCACTCTGCTCCCTCTGGAGACCTCGGGTTCCCGACACTTAGCAGGCCTGAGACCAGCAGGGAGGTGCCCGGGCTGCTGCTGCCGCTCATGCTCTTGCTCAGGCTGCGTTGCCGCTGCTCCATCAACACGCTGAGACTTGACTCTGCCCAGGCCCAGCCCACAGACGCCCAAGGCCAAGACTGCAGCCCTGGTGCCCACAGGAACTGCTCCTGGAGTTTTGTCCCCATCACTATCACCAAGGAGGGGCTGGCTGGTAGCACAGGTTTCAGCCACATCTCTGCCCTGCGGTGGTGACTCCCACCATCCCCAGCCTTGCTCTGACACAGGGTCCACAGACTTGACCGTGTCGAGACGACAGACTTGACTACGTTGATGGGGAGGGTGTGATCCAGGCCACTAGCCCAGGCCCGCAGGGGAGGGGCTCGATGACAGAGGACAGAAGGTAGAGCAGGGGCAGGTTCACGGGCCTGGCTGGTGCCAGCCGCGGCAGTTCTCCTTCCCACCAGCAGGTGACACTGGATGGGCAGAGAAGCCAGCGGGCCTGGGCGGTGGGGGTGCTCTCTTTGTGTGGCTGCAGAGCCACAGCCCAGGAGCAGCAGCTGCCACCAGCTGGACGCCTGCTGGCTCTGCGGAGAACAATGGTTGCCTGTCACTGCGGCCAGCTGTCCCCCAGGCTGTGTTCCCGGGGTGGGCGGGCCGGGAGCCAGGGAGAAGGGCAGGGGACCAGAGCAAGGAGAACGGCCTGGCACCTGCTGACGCCACAGGCTTTGCTCCTCACTTTCCCTCACCACATGCGCTGCACCAATGCTGAGTTCAGAGTAAAATGGCCAGAAATGAACCATCAAGGGAAAGAACCCCCGACCACGTGGTCGCGGTGCCTGTCGGGGGATTTCGGCTGGGCGCTCCTACCCTCAATTTCCCCCTGGCCCTGCAGCCTGCGACTCTCACTTCCTGGACTTGTGGTCCAACACAAACCAACGCTTTGGCGAAACACAATAAAAAGGAATCATCAGTAAAATGAAAGCAAGTCTTGCCCTACTGTTTTATCATTAGATTCTCTGTCAAAGGGTTCTTTGAGCCTCTCAACGTTCCCTCCCCGGCTCTGGGTCCCTCTGGCCAGGAGGAGGGCGACAGAGGAGAGGCCACTGGTGCCCGCCCATGGGGTTCATGGAGCGTCTCCACACAACAGGGTCCCGACTCGGGTCAGTGGAGGCAGGGGGCCTGAGCACTGTTTTCTCCCGTCTGGACGAGGAAGCCACACCGTGAACCCATGTGCCAGCCTGCTGACTCAGACCTGGCCCGCCCGGGCGCACGTGAGCAAGGTGGAATGGCAATGCATTTGAACTTGGCTGCCCGACCGTGAGTTAGCCTTTCTGGTTTCCTCACGTGTAAAACAGGGCAAGCAGCCTTCGTTTCCTGGGCTGCTCTGAAACTTCAGTGCGAGTGGACGCAGGAGGGTGTCTGCGCCCCCAGACCCGTCTCACACGCTGCTGTGTCCTGCACTCTCTGCACCTTGATTCTGCCGCCTGAACCAGTGCCCCCGGGCCCACCCCTCTGCAGCCCCGTCAATGTGCTCCCCACAACATCACCCTGTGCCACCTGCTAAGCAATCCTGGGGCCACCTCAGAGGAAAGAGAACTCACGGGTCACAGAGGTCTCCTCCTCCTCCTCCTCCTGCCTGGGCAACTTCCTAAATTCCGAAAGGTCCATCTGTAGCAGCTGGGAAACTGCCGTGTGTGCCAAGGATGCAGCGAGAGGTGGCGGAGCGTTCCTAGGGATGAGAAAGGAGAAGTGAGGCCCGGGCCTCCCCTGCAGGAGCCAGGCCCAGCACCCAGCCCACACGCCGCGGGGCCACATGGGCAGGGCAGCCTCTGTCCTCAGGGAGCTGGGACTGGATACTCACACAACGCACTGAGGCAGACATGCAACACCATCCACTGGGGCCTGATTGGGGGTGGTGGGCGGGGGCTGTCCCAGAGATGTGAGAACTGTGTCCTCAGCCTCAGTGGCTGAGCAAACTGCCTGGCGGCCAGGCTGATGCCGGCTCCTGGTCCATGTGCCCCAGGGCGGGGGGAGTCATCCACGCCAGCCGGGGACCCCCGAGGGTTGGGAGGTATATTATGGGTTGAACTGTGTCCCCCCCAAAATTCGTATGCTTAAGTGTTAACAACCAGAACCTCAGAATGGGCCCCTATTGGAAATAGGATCATGGTAGATAGAGTGAGTTAAGATGAGGTCATATTGGAGTGGGGTGGGCCCCTTCTCAGATGATTGGAGTCTTTATAAAAAAGTGGAAATTTGGACACAGACACACACACAAGGAGAATGTCATGTGAACATGAGGCAGAGACCCTGGGTGAGCCTAAAAGCCAAGGAAGGCCAAGCAAAGATGGCCCCAAACCACCAGAAGGAACCAGGCCTGCCAACACCCTGATCTCAGACTTTTTGTCTCCAGAACTGTGAAACGATAGGTTTCCATTGGTTAAGCGGCCCAGTCATTCGTATGGTGTCCCCAGGAAACTGATCCCGGGGCCTGAGCCCCGTGGGCGCACGCGGCAGAGGGAGCCGCTGTGCACAGCCCCAGCACCCCGGGGCAGATGGGCTGTGGGGGCGCTGGGGGCAGAGAGCGGCGGGCTGGGTGGGCCAGCTGTGTGGCAATGGGGAGCCACTGACTGTGGTCTGTTTCGAAGAGGGACGTGGCAAGACGGGATCTTTGACCCTGGTGTGCAGGGTGGGCTGAAGGGTGGGGCTGGCAGAGGTGGTGACACCAGATCTGGTCCTGAAACAGGAGGCAGATATCTCAGGCACAGACCCTGATGCACAGGACGGGACAGAGGAGGGACATGGGGAGGAGGGGCATCAGGGGCAGGGTGGAGGGAGGCACAGGGACAGTGTCAAAGTTTCTGTTTTATACAACTGACAGGACCATGGTGCAATTAATTACCCCAGCGGGGACAGAGCCAGGCAGGGCAGGGGATGGTGATGGGTTCCCTGTCCAGGGCGAGCCTCAGGTTCCTCAGAGGCTGAGTGGCCTGGGGGTCCGTGGCGTGTGGTCTGGGTGGGAGGTACGGCTGCAGAATGAAGGCGGAGGGGGACTGGGACCCACAGGAACTCGCTGGCCGGGGAAGAGGGCCAGGGAGCGGCTGAGAAGTAGGGACGACCCCAAGGGTGGCCTCCTGGGGGCCACGGAGGAACAGTTCTGAGAAGCAAGCCATGGTCGCCTGCTCCACATGTCAGAGAACAGAGCTGAGGAGTGGAGGCGGCGTGGCTGGGGTGTAGAGGGCGGTCACCACAGGCCCAAAGCACACGGCGGGGAGGAAATGCCAGCCCTGAGCCGGGGCCTTTGGCAGGCGGGCAGTGCGGAAGGAAGCTGAGGGGCAGGTTGGGGGGAGTTTGGGGATGGAGACACTGAAGCCAGCTGTGGCTGAGGAGAGCAGTGGGGAGGACTGTCGGGTGGCCGTATACCTCTCCACGCCCATCCCCAGCCCTCCAGACCTGGCTCAAATACCATGTCTGTGGGAAGCCGGGGTGGAAGGGGTCACCCCTCCTGGTGCCCGTACAGCCTCTGGAATGCATCCTGACCCCGGAACCTGCAGCTCTACCCAGCAGGGGCCCCTGGAAGCCAGGTGACATGCATTTACCCTGTGTGTCCATCCCAGGACATGGGAGGCAGCCTGGGGGCAGCCAGGTGATTCTTTGCTGGGCTGACACTCTCAGTTTTAACTGGAGGGCAAGGACCTTCCAACGGCCCAGGTGACGGGTCATGTCCTGCAGGGCTGGGCGTCCCAGGTGTCTACCAATAGTCTTAGGAATCTATTGGGACAAATTCCTGATACTTTAAAATGAGAGGATGACTCAGGGGAGAAGCCTCTGAAACTGTCTTTGAAAAACAATCAGCCAAGAGAGGAGAAATGAGTTCCTCTGCTATTTGGGGCTTTCCTGCCAACTGCTGGCTTTTCCTTTTTCTCAGTAGAAGGGACGTCTGTTTCCCCTCTGTCCCAGTGAGGTCATGTTTCGGCTTCCTGCCCGCCCGCCACTGCTGTTGGGGGCAGGGAAGTGGCTTCCGGCTGTGGGGACCTAGACAATGCCTGGCCATGGGCCACCAGCATCCCCTTCCTGGACACAACTGCCACCTCATCCACGGGCCCCACCAGTGGACACGCTCTGGAAGCCCTCAATCCTGAGTCACTGCACCGTCAGAGTCAGCCCTAATCCTGGTCCCTGCAGGGTGGGGCTCTGAAACACGGAGAGAAGATGTTCCAGGGAGTGGCTGAGGTTTGCGCAAGGCCCAGGTACACGAGAAACGAGAAATGCTACTCCTGCTCACCTAGGGGGTTACCAGGAGTTTACAGCCCAGTGGCAGAGATGCAAACGCACTTATTAAATAAACGATCACAAAGTAAGTAAGGCATGCACTGCTCGAGGACCCGAAGATGTGACACAGAGATGTAATAGCAAGGGGGAGACAGAACATCCACGGAGCCGCCCGGGAGCCGGGTGACCTGATTCTGGACAGTCTCAGACAGGATGCCGCTCAGAATCTGCAAAGGGGCCCACGGACGAGTGTACTCGGGGCTCTTCATACCCAAGGGCCCAAACTTGGGCTGTGGGCATGGGGAACAGAGCGCGGAGGTGGCGCGTGACAGCGTGGGGTGTGTGTGCATGTGAACAGGTGGATGTGGTGCAGACAATGTATGAGCTTTAGGCCCCAAGTGATGACCACACATATGAACAACCATGTCTGTACGTGAAACAAAATGCTAGAAAAGAACAAAAATATAATAAATTCATTAAGATGGCTGGGAAACATAAGACCTTAAAGTGCTGTAATTTATCACACGTTTGTGGAGTGTTAAGGTGGGTTTGGGGCTAAGGAGGCCCGCGGGGAGCTGGTATCACCCAGCCTCAGCCCCTCCCCACTCGCGCCCATCACCGACCATCAACGGCCAACAGCGTTCTGGTTACGAGGGGGTGCAGGGACTTGTCTGAGCAGGGTCTGCTCACTTGCCTGCGTTTGGGTCAAGGCACACCAGCCCTCCTGGGCCTGGCTTTCCTCCCTGTCGCCTGAGCCCCCAAGGCAGTGATGGGCCCTGGTCATTCCCACAGAAGGCCTGACCTGGCTGCAGATCTCGCTCCACCACACCCCTGCTGCCTGGTGAGTGCCGCCTGCTCCTCTCGGGGAAGCAGAACCCCGGGGCCTCCCTCACCCTCATGCGTGCGGGACCCCCGACAGGGTGCTCTGCTCCACCCTCAGGGGCCAGTTCACTTTACGTCACCTGTCTTTATTTTTTTCACTTTTTTAGAGATACGGTCTTACTCTGTTGCCCAGGGGCTGGAGAGCAGTGGTGTTGTCATAGCTCACTGCAGCCTTGAACTCCTGGGCTCAAGTGATCCTCCTGCCTCAGCCTCCCAATGCCCTGGGATTACAAGCGTGAGCCACCGCGTCCAGTCCCACTTGACTTTAAAATGTTTCCTCACAACGAGGCAACAATACCCTTCGCACTTGCCACGCCCAGGTGGTCATGGCCCTGGAACACCATTTCTTCCTGAGCTCCGTGGGGGACACCACGTGGATATGGCCCTGGAACACCCACTGCCCAGGCTCACGCTGCACAGGGTGAGTTGCCTCTACTGGGGCCTCAGGGTCCTGGCAAACAGGTCATCGCAGGACGTGCAGAGATGAAGGTGATCTGCCACAACTGGCACAAGAAGCTCGAGCTCAGGGGACATGAAGATGGAGCCTCTGCTGGTGGGAAGCCACGGCCGAGGGCATGTCAGGTTTCAGGGGATGTGCAGACACCCCAAGGACAATGCTGGGATTAGGGGCCCTGGGCAGGGCTGGGGACTAGGTTCGGAGGGATGAGGAGTGGCCTGCCAGCCCTCTCACCCCTGTGCCAGACAGAACAACCTGACCCCAAGGCCCTGCTGCTGTCTGAGCAGAGAGGGCCAGAGAAGAGACCTTGTCTTTCACTGTCTTTCGTGGGATAAACACTTCCAGAATGGAGAAATAAACGAAGGGAGGAGGGCCGCAAGGCCCAGCCAGAGTCTTTGGACGAGGGGACTTTAGAGGTCAGCTAAGGAGACGGCCATGCAGTCTGCTTGCACACAACCACTCTATCTGCCCCGAAATCTGCTAAGCTGGTTGTGTCACCTCTCTGTACCTCCGCTTCCTTCCCCTGTATGATGGGGACAGCTCCAGCTACCTCTCAGGTCGTGGTGGCCAGGGTCTAGGTAGCACTGCCCTGACAGTGAGGCCTTGGTCCAGTCTCAACCCACTGACCTCTGCCTTGGTCCGTGCCACGGAACAGAAAGAGGACCTACCACTAAGCATCTGTCATATGTTAAATTGTGTCCTCAAAGATACGCTCAAGTTCCGACCCCCAGTGGCTCAGAATGTGACTTTATCTGGAATTAGAGTCCTTGTGAACGTAACTAGTTAGGTTAAGACGAGGTCACACAGTGGGAGGGCCTAGTCCGGTGTGGCTGGTGTCCTTATGTGAGTAGGAGCAACACGGACACGGGCAGGGAGGGAGGCCTGAAGGAGCAGATGCACGGGGAGAGGCCGTGGGAGACCAAGGCGAGATCGGAGGGAAGGGTCCACGAGTCAAGGCCTGCCAGGAAGTCGGCACCAGATGCTAACAGGAAGGCCCGGAACGGAGTCTCTCCCATTTGCTTTAAGAGAGCAAGGCCCTGCTGCCACCCTGATCTCAGACTTTGGGCTTTCAGAGCTGTGAGAGAACAAATTTCTGCAGTTTTAAGTGGCCTCTGTTACAGCAGTCCCAGGGAAGCCACACGACAGCGCCGTCACGGGGACTGAGGTGGCGCTGGATGTGCGCAGTGGGTGGCAGCCGCAATGAGGTCTGCACCGGCAGACACGCTGCGCCCCTCGCTCCCGCCCCCTCCCAGGGCGCGCAGGCCTACCTGCTGCCCAGGAAGCCCATCGCCAGCTCCACCAGCTCGGCCTCCACTTCTTCCTGGCTGAGCACAGTCCCCGGGGCCTTCCACGGCATGGGGCTCTCCAGGCTCAGCGGGGCTGGGAAGTCTCGCAGGAGCATGTCCAGGAAGCCCTGGGTCCCCTCTGTGCCACGGGCCATCTTCTGTGGGGCTCCAGAGGCCATTGCCAGAGCATCCCGGGGGGCTCACAGCCTGGATGAGGGTCCCGTCAGTCTTCACTCTGGGGAGAGATGTCAGTCAGCGGAATCAGGGGCTGACAGGCGCAGCACTGTGGGGAGCAGGTGTCCTGATCTGACTCCCGCCGCAAGCACCACGCCAAGCCCTGGGCCGCATGGTTGAGAGGGCACAAGTCAGTGGAGTGACAACCCTGGCCGCTGTCATGACCAGGGTCCAAGGGGGGAAATGTGGGCACCCAGAGATGTGGCCTCAGGAGATGGCACCAGGACCAGAAGCTGTGTGCACATCTTGAAGGAAAGGTGACAGAGAAGGAAGATGTGTTCCTGGCAGAGGGTGGCCGGTGTGGCCAGAGGCAGGCAGGACAGGCACACTGGGGCCAGGCACTGAGGCAGGTGAAGAGGCCCCACCTGATCTCGGGCCCTGGGCAGCCAGGAGGGCTGAGGTGATGGGGTGATGCCACCTGGTTTGTGAGTCTGGATGTGGTGATCGGATGGGAAGAGGGACCTGTCCAGGCTACAGCAGCGGCTTGGGGCAGGAAGAGGAGGGCCAATGTGCAGAAGGGACTGGTCCACAGCTGTCTGGGAGAGACCAGAGGGTGGGCAGGAAGGGCTCCCCAGAGGCCAGCCCGGGACAGACAGGAGCTGCTCAGGGACGGGGTCGGGCCTCTTAAATGCTCTCTAATAGGAAGAGCGAGTATGTGCTTACAACGGCTCAGGCCTGCTCAGCCCTGGCTGGAAGGAAGTGTGGACGGTCCCGAGCTGCTAACCCCACAGGGGCTGGGGGGGGGGGGGGGCGTGGCACACAGTTTCTTCTTCCCCGAGTCCTTAGAAATGTCAAAGGCTCACTAGCTGCCAGGCCCCACGCGTTACCCCTGACAGCTCGGGTGCCAGGACAAGCCCCTCATTTCACAGATGAGAACACTGAGCTTGGAGAGGGGCAGCCCCTCACCCATGGTCTCAGGATGGAAGATAGGGCCCAGGAGGGATTCTGAACCCCAAGCCTGTCACCATCCACCCTGTTCCTCTATCACTCAAAAGAGGCAGGCGGTGCCTGGGGGCCTCCTCCCATGGGGCCTCCAAATCCGCTTCTCTCCTAGCGCAGAAGCGCCCACCCTCCCTGCACTCACACCCGGCCCCTCTCCCCAGCCTGGTGCCCCTCATGATCCCCCAGACACAAGCAGCCCTGGAGCGGCTCCCTTCCATCGCCCTAGAGTGTCACCTCTAGGTCCCCCTTCCTACCACACACACCCAAGCACACCTGGGTACCACCTGCCAGCACAGGCCCTTCTCTCTCCCGCGCCTTCTCCCTCCAACCCCTCCCACGCAGGGACACTACCTCGGGCTTCCTCCCAGGCTGGGAATGTCTTCAGCAATGGGCCCCACGCGCTTACCCCCAGGGAGATTTAAAACGAGGAGGTTCTTCCTGTGACACACTGACGTGAGAGTCCCAGGAGCACCCCAAGTTCTAGGAGGGAGAATTTGGGGAGCAGTCTCACAGCCCAGCCCCTTCCCGAGGCCTTCCAGGTTCTGACAGCTGAACAGAGAGGGCAGAACCAGCAGAGCTATAGGGAGAATCTTCCAAAACCATCGGTCTTAGAATACCCACAGACTGTGCCTGTAGATGAAGGATGAAGGGAGCTCATGGCCCACAAAAGGCTGAGCTGACGGAGAATTACTAACCTGGAACAAGCCTTCTAGAAGCACAAAGATAAAAAACACGAAGGAAAACGGGGCTGGGAGAGAGGGGAAGGGTCTCCATGCTGAGTTCAATGTGTCATCAATGAAGGATCTGGTGCAAGGGGACAGGGAGGTCTTGCAGAAACAGCAATCGGAAGCTAATTTATGTTAAGCAGATACATACAAGTAGTATAGAAATAACATAGATACAGGGGCACTTGTTACGGAAGGTCATGAGGACAGACTTGAGTTCGTTGTCATCCTTCACATTTACTCATAAGAAGTAAATAAAATGCAGCCTGGGTTACAAAAGGCATCAGGTAAAAAAAGAAGGAAAAATCGGGTGATGGCAGGAGGGACACTGCCACTGGAAGCACAGGGGAAGGCTGTGCAAGGGAGAAGTGCGCAGAGGCTGGGAGCCAGGGCCGGGGTGACAAGGAGGGCCGGGGAGGGGGCAGGACTTGCCAGACAAGGCACCCAGCCGAGTGACGAGAAAACAAGGAGACGGCACGACTTTCCCAGCAAGCTCAGACACCCGTGAGCAGAGAAAGAGGCCAAGTCCCCCTCCTACCTGTGAACCACTCTGGCTCCCTGGGGCTCCTGAGGGAGACATGTGGTCCCTGCAGAGTTGCTCCCAGGCATGTGCCAGCACCTGGGACCTGAGCTCTGGGCAATGCTGCCCGGCTCCCTTGTAATTCTAAGTGATTTGGAGGCACAGAAATCTCAGGCCATGCAAAATATGCTCATGTGAATTTATGATTAGGATCTGAATGAAAAGACGACATGCTCGCTGCCAAGAATACCCAGAGGGCCCCAGTGGAAGAAACCCAGGCCCATGGCATAAAGCCACACTTGCAAGCACAGAATTCAAGACCCTTCACTTTCAACCCCACTTGCTGGTGATGTCTGCTGAGCACTTTGGAATGCAGGTACCCCCTCCTCACCTCCTGGCCTTGGGGTGCTCTTTCCTGAGCCTGGAGCCCTCCCCCCAGCCCACCTGTCTCCCTCGGGGCTGGCAGCCCCTCCTCTCTGCACTGAAGGACTACAGACCCATGCCCCTGCCATGTGCCTGTGCCCACTGCCCTGAGCCTGGCACAGGCCTCGACAGCATCTGTACCATGCATGCTGAATAGGGCCTGGAGGGGGCAAAGCGCACGGGCCTGACGATGTGTGCAAGCTCTGCCTGCGTCTGCAGAGGGGAAGAGCCAGCTTACTCTCAGGGTCTGCGCCAACTGCCTGCTCCTGCTAGAAAGGCAGAGTGCCCAGAGCCATCCTGCCTGCTGGGGACTGAGCACGTTCATTTCTGCATTGCCTACCTAAGGCAAGTGGTGGAGAGAAACTGGGACACAGCTTTCCTTCCCTGGGTAAGGGACGAAACGACTTCCTTCCCGGTCCTTCCTTTTTTCTAATAAACTCCCGAATCTTATGTGTGCCACACATACACGAGCAAGAGAGAAGAGCACGTGGACAGTGGGAGGGAGAAATCCTAATCCAAAGGGGAACCACAGGCAGCCCTGAGCGTGCCGGCAGGCAGGGGACGGTGCTGTGGTTTGCGTTCCTGTGGGATCATCTGGAAGAGACGGTCTCGGGAAGCATGTGGTGGCCGGCTGGCAAGCGCAAGATGGGGGTGCAAGGAGGAGGCAGAGCTGGGAAAGGACCAGAAGTGCAGGGGTGTCCTGACTGGGGCACAGCAGTGATGGGCTCAGGGGTGGAGGGACACATGCGCAAGGCTGTGTATGTCATCAAGGGCCTGGGGTGGGCATGGGAGGGACGCTGGGCTCCTGAACTTCCAGTGCCACCTGCCTCGACTGGCCCAGCCGACCGTGACCTGAGGCTGGCTCCTCCTGGCTTGGTGCCTCTGTACTCGTCACCAGGGGCGGCCGCAGGGGTGGGACTAACAGTGCTGCCAGCTGCCACCCGCCGCTGCTCTGAGCACTCTTCCTCTTTTAACCTCCCAAACAACCCTGCTGTTGTCCCCACTCTACAGGGCAGGCTGCAGAGGAAGGGCTAAGGGACTTGCCCAAAGTCCCTAGTGGGATTCATGCTGGACAATCTACCTAGGCCCTAACTGTGACCAACATCCTGGAAAGTCCTTCTGACTCCCTCCTGTCCCTGGCCCACCCCTCGTTGGTCACCGACCTTGAGCTTCGGCTCTCTGGTGGCTCCTTTGATTTCTGCGCCCACTGCGCCAGGATGACCCCTCCCCCCCTTGCCCTGCGCTAGTAGCTAATACCGCAGGCTCCCAGCTCCCCTGCCAGGCCAAGCTGTGGCTCATGCGGCCCCTCTTTCATTTTGCCCTCACAGGTCTCTCAGATCCTTCAAGGCTCTGCAGAAATCTTCCCACCTGTGGATCCGTCACCTGCCTTCCATGTGTCTGTGGCATCTATAGCACTTTTGCTAACACCTGACTTGTAAAGTTTTCTTTTTTTCATTTGAAATATTTATCTTCCTCTAGTGTACCAGTTTTGACTCATAAGCTCAACTAACACATAGCTGTCACAACTGCAGTTTTCCAGGTGGTACAGACAAAACATTTGTTGCGTCTTGCTTAACTTCAGAACCCAGGCAATGAAAAAAATAGCAATCTAATCAAATTGCCTCATAAAAGGCAACTGCATCATTAGTGTTACACAAGTATTGTATTCACTGTTAAAATATTTTTCCCTCCTAACAATGAAGAATCTTAATTCTTTGTTCATAAATAACCACTGGGAATAGTTTGGCATAAATCCTTCTAGATCTTTTCCTACCTGTATAAATTTTGTTGTAGTAAAATATAAGTAACATAGTATGTATCCCTTTAGCCATTTTTAAGCACTAAGCACATTCGCGGGGTTGTGCAACCACCACCTCTCTTCTCTCAAGAAAGGCCTGACTTTCTTGAGAGAGTGTAAGCTCCCTGAGGTCACGGAGCCCACCCTGGCCCTTTGTGCACAGCCCGTGGCAAGCGTGATGGCTGAGGCCTGGCACCTGTTAAGAGAAAGCTATGCCATCTGTGGAGCACAGTGGGCAGCAGAAACAGGTCTCAAAAACACGGCTGGCTTCAAGAGATATCTCAAAGGAATTCCACAAATGCAAGTGCCTGGAGGCTCGCAGCTTTCAAAGTGGTATTCATTTTGTTTACCTCTTACAACCACGCGGAGCGCGACGTGCTGTCAGCTCACATCGCAGACTATGAAACAAGCTCTGGGCTCATTTCTCACCTGTGTGTCTAAGGTCACACAGGTAGGAAATGGCAAAGCAGGATTCAACTGGCACTTCTACCTCAGCTGCAGGAGGGAAAGAGTGAAATTTGACTATAGGACAGAAACGGGTGTAAAGGCCAGAAATGACAGGAGATGGCCTCAGAGTGCCAGCTGGCCTCACATTCCCTTCCCCATGGTGGGAGCCCAGCTGGGTCCACAGACCTTGCCCCAGGGAATGCCACGAGGACATGTGTCACTCAGTCCCCCAGAGTGGAAGGCTTTGGGCTTCAGAGGAGCCCACCACCATCCACTGGGCCCAACAGTGTGTTAGGCCCCGAGCTGAAATCCCGACAGTAGGTGCCGTTTCTCCTTACTGCACAGAGGGCTAAGGGGCTTGCCGGCAACCACACGGCTGCAGTGGTGGGGCCGGAGGGAGGGCTGCATGCCTGGGGCTTATCTGTCTTGCACACCTCCTGCTCACTCCTCTTGAATACACGTAGGGGGCCATGGGGTGGGGGTACTCAGGGAGAGATGTGACCCCCTGCAGGGGCTGGTGGGGTGGAGGCCAGGGCAGTGGGCCTGGCTCAGATGCCACTGGGGGCTGGGATGCGCTGAGCAGGAGCAGGATCCCAGAACATGGGGGCGTGTCACCTTTCAGCACCCCATTCTGTCTCATGCCCAGAGTCCCCACCCAGCCCTGGTCTCGGCCACACCCCCGCCAACCCAATGGACCACCAGTTCTGGGCCCTTGGTTCCCCGGCCACCCGTTCTTGCCTCGGGTTCCTCAGGTCCCTAGCTACTCTCCCCACTCTTACGACCCCTACTCCACCCCTGAACACCCTGGGTCCCCCCATCTGAGCCTCCTCTCGGCCTCCTTGCCTCCCCAGGCCCCCTATTCTGCCCCTCCGGTTCCTAAGCTCTGTTTCACCCCTGTGCAGCTTGGGCCCCCACCTGACCCTCACCAGGGCCCGGTCGGCCTCCCGAGCCCGCCCCCCGCGCTTCCTCACCGCCGGGTCCCCACGAGCCTCACCTGCCACCCCACTGCTCCGCGCCCTGCAAGCTGCTCCCGGCCAGCCCCGCCCACTTCCCGTTCCCGGCCGCCGCGGGCTCCGCGCAGGCGCAGTCGGGCCTCCGGGAGGGCGGGGCCGGGCCTCTGCTGCCCCCTGGCGACCGTGACCGCGGCCCTTTCATTTCAGGTGGGCAGCAGGCGGCACCTGCTCCCTAGCCAGTGCTTCACTTCTCCAGCCAGGGCTGGGCGGCTCCATGGGGAAAAGCAATCCCTATCTCACAGCACCCAGAAATTAGGCAACTTGTGCTGTCAACAGCTGGTACACGGCTGGCCATCCATCAGGGCAGGAGGAAGAGTGCCCAGGGCCCACCATACTTTTAGGGGCTGTTTCCACAAAGTAAGAGGCTTAAAACCACACCAATTTATTATCTTACAGTTCTGCAGGTCGCAAGTCCGCACGGTCTCAATAGGCTAAGATCCAGGTGTCAGCAGGGTGGGTCCTTTCTGCAGGCTCTAAGGGAGAAATGATTCCTTTTGCCTTTTCCAGCTTCTAACTCGCGTTCCTTGGCTCGTGGCCCCTTCCTGTTTCTTTGAAGCCAGGAATGGCTTCAGTGGAGCCCTTCTCATGCTGCCATCTCTGGCTCCCTCCTCTGCTTCCCTCTGCTACTTCTAAAGACCCTCTAACGACCCTGGGCCAGCCCAGATAATTCAGGATAATCTCCCTATTTTAAAGTCAGGTGATTAGCAACCTTAATTCCCCTATACCAGGTAATCTGACATGGGCACAGGTTCTGGCCATTAGGACGTGGACATCTTTGGGGGGCTATTTTTCTGCCACCACAGAAGCTTATGAAGATATTTTCTTTTAAAGCCAGAAGAAATAAATTTTCAAATCAAAGAAAATGTCTTAATATATTAATATTATATAATAATATATTCATCTTTCTACTAATGCAGTTGTAAAGTATAATTAAAAATTTGTCTGGCTGGGCACAGTAGCTCACACCTGCAATCCTAGCACTTTGGGATGCTGAGGCAGGAAGATCCTTTGAGGCCAGGAGTTTGAGACCAGCCGGAGCAAGAGTAAGACCCCATCTCTACACAAAAATAGAAAATTTAGGCAGGAGTGGTGGCATGTACCTTAGTCCCAGCTACTCGGGAGGCTGAGGCAGAAGGATTGCTTGAGCCCAGGAGTTTGAGGTTGCTGTGAGCTATGATGACGCCATTGCACTATAACCCAGGAGACAGACCAAGAGTCTGTCTCAAAAAAATTTTTTTTTCTTGTTATGAAGGACAGGCATTCGAAAGTCCTACTGCAGCCCTGCTTACCTGACCTTCATGTCCACACACTGGCCCGTGTCCTTCCCAGGAATTAATGTCTCCGGGATACTCACTAACAGGAGGGTTTTGGTAAGGCCAGGAACCTGGAGAACTAGCAGCTGGGTGATCTGAAAGGAAACATCTGGGGTGGGGGTGGGTCTGCCAGGCAGGGGGTATCTGGGCAGAGGACAGGACGTTGGGGGTGCTAGCTAATCCCATGCTCCTGCTCATCCCTTTCTAGATCTGAGTCAGGGCAGTGACCCCGAACAAGGCTTGAGGCTACTTCTTATAACCTGTGACCTGGAGCATATTCCTTAGCTCCTTGAGCCTGTTTACCAGAAGAATGGGACAATAACAACCAACCTATCTCATAGGGTTGTTGTTGAGACCCTGAGTCAGTGTTTCTCAAAGTGTGCCTGAGGCTACCTATAGCACAACAGCTGTAAGGTACAGTTTGAGAACAACAGCACAGGCCAGGTGGTGTGTGGGGCAGGCCCTCCCAAACTGTAAAGAGCCATACCAGTGACAGTTAAGACACCTGCAGGCCTCCTCACTGGGGGCCACATTAAACTCTTGAGCACTGATTCCATCTGAGGTTGGCAGCTTAGAAATAACGGCAAAGTAGGGCGTCAGGAGCTTGGCCCCGTGGGCTCTGGGCCAAGGCCACGCCTGTGAAATTATTTGTGCCCTGTGGCTCTGTCAACGCCTAGCTGTCTGCATTCCATCCTACCTCAGCTCCCAGCTCTTGGCTTCCACCCTGTGAAAGGAATTTCAACATCAACCCCCCTACCAACCCAGCCACCAGTTTACGCTCCTCTTCTTTCCAGGCAGGGCTGAGCCCCTGGCTGGGTGGGTGGAGCAGGGGCTCTCAGGTCAGCCTGCTGACCTCCCCAGCCTCCAGGGCAGAGGTCCAGTCCCACAGGGCATGGCTGCTCAGAAGGCACTTCTGACCTGAAGGAGGCCTTGTCCCCTCCTGTCCTCACTGCTCCCAAGGCCAGGTTAGCGGGAACAGTGGGGCGGCTCCTAGCGCACAGTGTAAGGTGAAGGCACCTGGTGCGGGATCCAGCTTGGACAGCTGAGGCCTTGAAGGAGACTCAGTGTGGGAACAGCTGCAGGGAAAATGAAGGAACACTTCACGATCAGCCCTGCCTGTGGCTGAAATCTCAGCGCAGAATCCTGTTAAGGAAGGAATGGGTGTCTGCATTAAGGCCTAAGGGAGTCTCCACTGCTCTAAGCCTAAACCAGCCCTGCAACCAGCTGCCTCCCTGGATGTGTCCAGGGGCATAAGCAGGCCAGGTAACCTTCCTGGAGCGAAGCCTGGGTCCACTCCCCATGTGACTGGGCCATGTGAGTGGAAGAGCAAAGTCAGGCCTGTGCCAGGGACCCTACCCACTAACACGTGGTGTTAGGGCCCCAGCATCTGACTGGAGCGGGCAGCAGCTTTGAGGGCATCCGCTCCTTCCCCAAGCCTGTACCTCTGAGACACATCCCAGGACCTGCTGCCCAGCTTCCCCGGGAGCCTGCCCTCGGGGGCAGCCTTCCCAAAGTGACACTTCTCTGTCTCACTGTGTATTTTCATTCAACTTCTAGTTTCCCAAACTGTGTTCCAGGGCACCCAGCAGGGCTTGTTAGGGCCTCCGGGGTGGGGGTAGGGGTGTCCAGGAGGGGTGACCGTATGAAATGCTGGGTGAGCTTCGGGTTTCTTTATAGAAACTCTCCTCAGAGCCTTACATGTTCTGGTGTGAGCTGTGAATCTGCTGCTGAGGAGGGGAGGGGTCTGTGTCCGCGTACGAAACATTTCTGATCTGTCCCCACACAAGGGTTCCACTGAACACGGAAAGCTGTTTTGCCGAGCTCCTCCCCCCACAAGGTGAGGCATCAGTAGAGGCTGGAGGGAGTTTCCACCACCCAACAGACCTCACATGGGTGCCCCTTCTTGGGGGGCTGCAGCAGCAGTGCAGGAAGGCACCGCAATCAGATGGCGGCCTGCAGCCTGCACCCAGCTTACAGGGTGTTTCTAAACCTGGGATCAATGGGGCGCACGGCTGCCTCTGTCTGGGACAAACTAGGGCTTGTTATGAGGAAAGGAACCAGGGCAGCCCTGGAAGCTGCCAGAGACGCACACAGGCACCACGTCCTGAGCTTGCGTGGAGCCACTCGGCTGAGGGCAGGGAGCAGCGTCCAAGCGTGGGGTCAGCAAGGGACCTGAGCAGGGCCTGGAGCCAAGGCCAGGGGGATTCCTGAGCCAGATCCAGGGAGGACTTCTCCCAGCCTCCCGCTCCACGGGCGAACCTTCTGCTGGAGCTCTGGCTATCCAGGCCAGCCTTCCCTTAGGCGTCAGGGCTGTGCCCTGCTTGTGCGCACAGCTACCGTTAGCATACACGGCCTGAAATGGGATGTGAGCAGCAGACTGGGGCTATTCCCTGTGGTTTCAGACTTGGTGGCCTCCAGGACTGCCAGGGAAGAGCAGGGAGCACTTGGGACATGTGTGCACAGGATAAGGGAAAGGTGGGGAGAAGAGGGCAGGAGCCCCACAGATGCTCAGGGACATGGAACCCTCTGACATCACTGTACCAGCGAAAGCCCCAAGCTTCTTGCTCTGGAGAAAATGCCATTTTAATGGTTTCAGTGGCCTAGAGGACAACTGTCATGAGGCGTCTGCATCGCACTGGAGCCTGGGTGAGGGGCAACAGGGCCGTCATACGAAGTAGGCGGCCAGGGCCGACATCTTGTCCTTGGGCCGCCTGGGGTTGGGCTTCCCGGGAGGCCGCCGGGCCCGGCCCCGCCCTCGGCCCTGCCTCCTCCCTGGCCCGCCACGGTGCATGGGGTGGCAGGAGGCCGCGTGCTTCAGCTCCACCAGCTCCTGGAAGACAGGGTCACAGAAGACGCAGCCCACGTGCTGTGTCTCATCGCCCGGGAGCGGGGACTTGGCCTTGTTGAAGTCCACGTCGAGCAAGGCGGCCTCACACACGTTGCAGGTGTCAGCAGACACCCGCACGCGGTGGGCATTCTCGAAGCAGTGTGCCACCACGTTGCACTTGTTGCAGGCCACCTTCCACTTGGGGCCCGAGGTGGGGTCCAGCACCAGCACGCCACTCTCGCACTCCACGCACTGGCCGATGCCCAGCAGGCTCAGCGAATGCTGGCAGGAGGGGTGCGTGCACTCGTTGCAGCCCATGCCTGGCAGGGAGAGAGGAGCCCTGTGACACACACCTGCTCCCTGCCTCCCACCTGGGCCCACTCCCAGTGCCTCAAACTCCTGAGTCCTTCATTCCAGCAGAAAGTGCTCCTCTTGGTCTTGCGGAGACACCCTTACTCACGCTCTCTCGGGCTCCCAAAGCCTCCCGCTGCCATCACCCTGTCCTCAACTTTCAAGCCCCCTAGGCTAATGCCTTCTGGAAGCTTCTGGAGGGCAGGGATGGGGCCCCACTCCCCGGCAGCCTGGATAAGGACCCTGTAGTAAGTGTGGGCAGATGCCTCGGTCCCGCTGGTTCCTGGCCTGCGGTACGAGATGATGACACCCCAAAATGCTATGCAAGGCATAAAGGAGCTCGCACAGACATGAGCGTGGCAGGCCCCCACCTGCTGCGTCCTCTCGCTTACCCCAGCCCAGGAGGGAGCACAGCACGCCTGCTCCCCGGATCCAGGCGAGTGGACTATGGTGAGCAGAGAGTAGCAGGCCTACTAGCTGAGACCTGTGCAGTGCCCCAGCTGCACCCAGGGTCTCCTGTCTCAGTGCTAGTGAGTGTGGGAGGGCTCAGGGTAAGGGGTCCCCTGGGAGCCAGGCCTGGTGCAAGACAGAGGCTGCTGCTGAGCAGAGACTGCAGAACACAGCAGGGACAGAGGGAGCAGCCGGGGCCAGGGGCTGCCACACTCACCTTTTTTCATGTCTCGGAAGGGTGGGTGGTTGTAGCAGTAGGGGCACAGTGGGTAGCTCTTGCCCCGAGAGCCTGATGACCACAGGACCAGCTCGAAGTCGTCCAGTGGGCAGCGGAGCTCCTTATAGAGCTTGATGGTGCCGTTCTGGGGCAGTGTGTAGGTCTCGTCGCAGTGGGAGCAGTGCAGACGGCTGGGCTTAGCCTGCAGCAATGCCAGGGATGGGGTGTGAGGTCTCGGGGGCCACCCACTGGCCCGCCTGCCTCATTCCCTTCACAATCCAGAGCAAGTGACACCTAATGCAGAATACGTAATATGTCACAGGCAAGGACCTCTCCACTCTGGGCCATGAGTCCCAGGACCTGGCTCCACGTGTGGAGAAAGGCAGTTCTGAACCCCCTGCGTGTGTGTTACTGCCCGTGATGGCCAGTGAGGAGGAGTTATGGAAAAATAGACAACATGTGTTTGAGTGGTCCGATGGCTTCTGTGCTCCAGGGTCATGGGGACATTGTGGGTATTGCTTGTCAAGGCTGCTTTATGTCTCTGAGTCATTCTTATCTGACAACCGGGACAAAGAATATTATTCCTTGTTACCACCGATGATAAAGTTAGAGGCCTAAAGTGGCATGTGACTTGCCTGAGTTAGTGCACAGGGCGCTGCAGGCCAGGAGGGCAGTCGCAGCCCTTCCTCCCACCTACCTGGATGTACTTCATGAACCGGTGGCACTTCCCGCAGCGCGACAGGGGCTTGCCTGTGGCCGCCAGAGGCGAAAACGACACCTCCATCAACTCATCCATGCCTGAGAGCAAGCAGAGCGCAGGAGTCACACCCTCCCGGTCTCCAGGAGAGGACCTCTGGCAGTCACCTCTTTGGCAGACAGCTTGGTGTGACCCAGTGGGCTGGAGGGAGAGGCCACCACACGTGGTTAAGGATCTGAGTGTGGACACATCCCTGCAGGTGGTGGGTTTCTACTGTCAGTGACAGAACGGCAGGGCAGTAGCCCTGTGTGTGGGGTTAACACTCCTGCTCTCACCCTGACAGTAACCCTGCGTAGAGGCATCTTCGCTCCAGCCTGTGATCTCACGGGGGCCCCTGCTCCCCTGGGTGTTGGCAGCCCTGACAGAGGGTCTCCTGGTGAGGGGTGGGGAAGAGGTGGATCTACCAGCAATGGAGTCAACGAAGTAGTGGAACTTCCTCTTGAACACATCCAGGGTGTGGCCCAGCACCTGGCGGTAGTTAGCCTTGCCCTGGGCGATCAGGTTCAGCTGCTTCTCGACGGCGCTGCGGATGGTGGGGAGCACCAGCTCGGCGTCTGTGAGCAGGCGGGGCAGACGCTGCTGCAGCACTCGCGCCGGGCTGTGCCGCCCCCAGCGGGCAGCTCTGGCTGGTCCTCCAGCGGGAAGATACCAGGCCAGCTCCTGTGCCCCAGGCCTTTCCTGACTTCCCACCCAGAAATCTGGTGCAGAGCAGCCAGGGACATCCTGTGTCTAGGACCATGTCAGAGGCATGCTCCTGGCCAGCCCCAAGCCAGCTCTGTGCCTCTCCATCTCCCACTGGCCCTGGGGGGACCTCCCGGCGACAGAGCCTACGAGCACCTGAGTGAGAACCCCAGGCCCGGCTGGGAGCTGATCTGCAGGAAAGGGCCCCTCACCTCCCCTTTTGGCTCCTCCACACGCGTCCATCCCTCCTTCAAACACACTCTGAGCTCCTGTCCTGGGCAGCCCTGGGGTTCCTAGGGCTGGCAGGGGGCCTTGGGGGAGTGCACGTGGAGCCAGGGACTGTCTGGGGAGGCGGCAGAGCCCATGCCCAGGGAGCCCCAGTTGGCCCGGGGCAGGACTGAGGGACTCACCGATCTTGTAGTAGCCGTGCACCAGGACGATGCCCAGGTTGGTGGGCTTCAGCCGGCGCCCACTCTCCACGGTGACATAGTTGCGCTGGCAGATGTTGTTGATGTGCACGGGGATGCTGGCATCTGTGCCTAAAACACATGGCAAGACCCTGGTGTTCCTTGGCCTGCCCCATGGGACCGTGAGCTGTGGCTTCACCCCCACCTGTCACGGGGGCCCTGGCTCTCAGCCCCTCCCTCACTGCTCCTGGCCACCCACAGGAAGGAGGGCTGTGCCCTGTGCCAGTCAGCACACCATGTGCCAGTTGTGTACTGGCTTGAGAATCCAAGGGTGGCCCCCACAGCATGGGGTGCTTATTGCTGCTTTACAGTGGAGAGAGGCTCAGAGAGGTTAAGGAACTCTGCCAAGGTCACAGAGCTTATTCTGTGCCTGGTAAATGTCACCTCTTTGGCTTCTCCTGCTTTGATCTTGTGGCACCTGTCCCCTGAACACAGAGGCACTTATAGGCTCACTGAAGAATCACCCCCCCAAAACCTGGCCAATTTTGTCCACTTCCTGTCCCCCGCCTCTGCCCTCTCTCCAGGGTCCCTCACGATCCCCAGGGCAGATCCCCAGTTCCAAGGATTCAGCTTCCCCCACTCTGAGGTGCCTTCTTGGCAGAGAAAGTGAAGAGGAAAATGAGGCATTCCGACTGTGCCTTCCAGCTGGGGCAGTGAGATGGGACGGGCAGTGCCCAGTGGAAGGAGCACTGCCAGGGGAGGAGGCCCCCAGTCATGTGAGATGTCGCTCACAGCCGCTAGGCCTGGGGACTGGGCAAGATCACCTCTCCTGCAGGGTGCATGCACCAGTGACTACACTTTTGATCTGATGCACTCCCCTGGACTGCCCATTCTCACTTGGAAACTCTTGCTTATCCTGTGGGAAGCTCTGTCCCTGGGACAGGGACAGATATCTCTGCTCCCTCACTGGGAAGTGGCTCCCATGAGAATTTGGTTTCCCTGTTGCCTGATTCCAGGACAGACCTGGGCTGGCTGTGTGGACTTGGGAGGACATTGATCTTTGTTTTTTTTTTTTTGAGACAGAGTCTCGTTCTGTTGCCCCAGGTAGGGTGCACTGGCATCATGATAGCTCACTGCAGCCTCAAACTCCTGGGCTCAAGAGATCCTCCTGCCTCAGCCTCCTGAGTAGCTGGGCCTACAGGTGCATGCCACTATGCCCGGCTAATTTTTTCTATTTTTGGTAGAGACAGGGTCTCACTCTTGCTTAGGCTGGTCTCCAACTCTTGAGCTCAAGCGATCGCCCTGCCTTGGCCTTTCAGAGTGCTAGATTACAGGTGTGAGCCACCGTGCCCGCCCTGATCTGACCTTTATGAATGGTCTGGCACCCTGGGCCAAGCCTCAGCCCCGTGCACATTAGTCAGTGTGAGCTGGCCCTGCAGTGCAGGAGGGCACATCTGGGCCTTCAAGGGAGGGCCTGGTCGTGAGGGGCTGCCCACTGTAGTCCTGCCCACTTGGCTAGCCACACACTGGGTCAGCAGTCTCCAGATGCTGGCCTATGGACGGGTGCTGCGCTGGGTACAGAGAGGTCACCAGGCAACTCTGCAGATCCGGACTCCCACCCCATCCTGGAGGTGGCCCCGGCACCGCACCCACCGATGCCGTGCTTCTCCATGAGCGTGATGAGCTCGGCCTCCGTCAGGTAGTCAGGCGGACTCGTCTGCTTCTCCAGTACCTTCACCTCGCCCACAGGGAAGGTGTCGCCCCTCTGGCAGGTGGGCAGACTCTCCTCCAGGGGCACGCTCTGCCAGGGCATGATCTCTGTGAAGCCTGGAGAGATACACTGCTGCCACTCAGGGTCCCTGGGCTGGATGGCCCAGCCTCAGACCCTGGGCCTCCCACCTCTGGATACGACGTGGCACGTCCTGTCTGCCTGTGAAGACGAGGAGGAAAGCTGCGGCCTGCAGTGTTACCTGGGGAGATGACGGTCCTCCCTGAGCAGGTGAAGAGCTCAGGCCCGATCCTGAAGGAGATGGTGCTCTGCAGGTACTTGCAGTCGTGGCTGACCGTGGCGATGAAGTGTCTGGTGATATATTCGTAGAGCCGCCATGCATCACCCCCTGCAATAAGCCCAGGGCTGTCACCTGGGAGCTGGTTGGGGGTTCTCGTGCTAAGGACCCCCTGGCACTCTCACTTGAGCAGCAGGGATGCCAGCGCCTGCTTAAAGCCCGAGAAAGGAGGAAGGAAAGAAAATGCACAGGAAGGAAAAGCCAGTCTCCTGGGCCTTGGTGGCTTCCTCTCGCCTGTGGCTCCCACCTCCCTGTACGACCTCCCAAAGCTGCTCCTGGTGGGACTGTCCCTCCCCCATCTAGTGACATGCCACACCATGCCTTCCAACTCAGGCTGTGCAGTGGCTCTTGCCTCCGCCCATATTGCTCACCCTTCCTTACCTGCCTGCTCCTGGCACATGGGCCACAGGCACCACCTAGGGCCAGGTGGGGGCAGAAGGTCCCCCCACCATAGAGCCCTGACACTCTCTGCCTCAGTCCTATCCCACACCCCCCACGGCCGTCTGCCCACTCACCTCCTCTGACCAGCCACCTGCACCTGCTGCCACCTCGTTACTCCTGTCTCAGCCCCAGAGCAAGATCTGTTTCAGGCAGCCCCCTCACCACAGCTGTGGGCAGGCAGGGAGGAAAGGAGCCCCCACATTGCCAGGGGGGCCTGCCACCGACTCTGTAGCTTCTCGCCCCTCCTGCCTGGAAGCGTGAGGGGTGTGTGTGAGATACCTAATTCGGCCTCCGTGGCCGACCTCATGGGAGTGATGGGGGGATGGTCACCGGCATCGTGGCCTTTCCGTGGACGGTTGATACCTTCCGCTAATAACCGCTTTACCTGAGGGAGAGAAGACAGGGCAGAGTCCGAGTCTGGGCTTGGCCACCCTCCCCCTGGCCCTGGGTTTGCCCAGAGTGCCTGAGCTGGTCCTGAGGTCTCAGCAACAGGTGTGTGCAGGGGTGGGCCCGACTCCACTCACTGTGTCGGCCCAGTAAGGGTGGCTGGCCTGCTGTCGCAAAGAGCCCTTCAGGTCGAAGTTTTCGGGGTAGTGGGTGGTCTCTGTCCGCGGGTAGCTGATGTAGCCTTGCATGTAGAGCCGCTCAGCTGTCTGCATGGCGTGCTGCGGCCCCATGCCTGTGAGAGACAGGAGGCTCAGCTGGCCCAGACGGTGGGGATGGCCGGGTGCCTGCCCACAGGCCTGTGCACTCAGGCTCTCCCCAAGGCGGCCAGAACCTCCTGGAGGGTGAGGGTGCCCTGAGCAGGTGTGGCCAAAGCGCAGAGCTGCTGGCTGGGTGGGGGACCTGTGCCGCGCAGTCTTGTCCGAGGCCGAGTCCTGTACCGTGAGGGTGGGCCAGGATGGGGCCTGACGGGAAATGCTGCTCAGCCTACCTCAGAGTGCGCCCTCACAGTGCTTGTGGCCATGGTGATGTGGCCTTCAGAGTGCCTCTCCCCACGGTCTGGCCACAGAGCTGTAACCAGGCCATCACTCCACAGCCCCCTAAGGACTCCAGAGCCAACACTCTTAGAGGACACTGCCCACAGCTCCCCACGCGAGGGCCGCCAATGCCTAGAGGCCAAGGATGGTCAGAGGGCACCAGCTTTCTAGCCCAGCCCCCATCTCGCTACTGAGGAAACAAGGCTCAGGGAGGCGATGCTCACCCTGTCCCAGCAGGTGACACCTGGCTGGGGCCTCCCCCCTGCACCAGCGAAAGCCGCCCAAAGACTCTAACGTCAGGATGTCCCCCTCAGGTAGTGGCCAACATTACCATTGCTATTGTTAAAATGTGCTATTTCACGTCATTTGATCCTTACAGCAACCTAGAGAGACAGGTAACGTCGTTGCCCCATTTTCTCATGAGGAAACTGAAGCACGGGAGGCGGAAAGAAGTGGCTGAGCTGGGATTGGGACCGGAGCTTGGCTGCAGAGCTGGAACTCCAGGTTTAATGGCTCTGACAGACTCTGCTGCGCCAGGGACACCAAGGGTGGCCTTCCACATGTTCTGCCCCCCGCAGCAGCCACTCAGACACTGCATACCAGGAAATTGTCTGTTTTCCCCACATAAATTCAGGGAAGCTGTTGGGTATTAACCAACAATCCAATGAAACAGGATCCTCTCTCCTGTTTGTTTTTACTTGTTTCTCCTCTGGAACTTAAAGAGAAATGAAATTCTCGTGAGGCTCAGAACCCCTCAGCCTCGGGCATTGCATGGAGGAGATGTACTCAGCACAGGTGACAGCGTTGGTACCACCTGGCACCCCTAGGCACTCACTGCAGTGGGACAGAATGGGCCACCATGAGCCTGCCTCAAGGAGCCTTTGGGGGGCTTTAGAGAATCGTCCCTACATACCCAGAGAAGAGCTGGCCACACGCAGCATCTCCACAGTGTTCAGGGCCAGGGGCCTCTGCTTGGCCTTTTCTTTCTTGCTTGTGGCCTCCACCTGGAAGATGGGACCCAGAGAGGGATTTCTAAAGGGGAAGGCGCCACTATAGAGGGAATCGAGATGTGTGGGCAAAGGGTCTGGTTCCATTCATTTGGTCTCCCTGCTTCAATAATCCACTCTTTCCAGCAGCCTAAACACTTGATTCAGTATTTATTTAGAACCAGGAAGGGAAAAAGAATATAAACTCTGTTCTAGCCAGGAGAGGTAGTTTGTGCCTGTAATCCCAGTTACTCAGGAGGATCACTTGAGGCCAGGAGCTTGAGACCAGCCTGGGCAAGAGAGCGAGACCTCATCTATACAAAAAATAAAAATATTAGCTGGGCATGGTGGCACCTGTAGCATCAGCTACTTGGCAGGCTGAGGCCGGGGGATTGCTTGAGCCCAGGAGTTTGAGGCTGCAGTGAGCTACGATTGTGCCACTGTACCCCAGCCTGGGTGACAGAGTAAGACCTTATTTCTTTAAAAAAAAAGAAAAAGAAAAGAGAAAAACTAGGGAGAATGAGGAAGCATCTGGAGAAGGGGCTGTAGATGTGAACCCTGCAGAAGCTGTCTCAGCAGGGCAAGGAGGTGGGGAGGGGGCCGTCTGCGGGCAGCACCCACGCCTTGCTGTGGGGCAGGGCTGCCATCTGGGCCTGTTAGTACTGCTATGTCTTCCAATTCTTAAAGAAAAGCTGGGAGTCAGGATTTTTATGTGGATCTCACAATTTTTGAGTGTTGGTAAGTATTTTGAAATTTTTGTAAACACCGTGCAGGTTAAATGGAGAGCATCTGTGGGCTGGGCTTGGCTGGCAAGCTACCGCCCTCTACCTCCAGACTGAACGCTTGTCAGAAGAGACAGCTCTTTGTTTCGCCTATGGCAAAACAATTCAAACAACTCAACCGAGGCCTTTGCCCTTGCCAATCCCACAGAGACCAGCCAGGCAGTGCCTTCTGGATTCCAGAGCGACAACGTGGGTGCTGGCACTGGGGCCCATTGTGTATGGGCAGCAGTGGAGGCTGGGATCCACGCGGGCAAGGTCCGGAGGTGGAGATGGGGGTCTCTGCAGGAATGTGATCAATGCTAACAGCACAGAGCAGCTTTAGAAGTTCCAGAGGCCTGGCACAAGAGCATGGTGGGCAAGAGGGCACTCAAGGAAGGTTGGAGGACAGGAAGAAGGCACCTGAAGGAGGCCAGGCTGCACCTCGATAACTCTGGTGGCTTTCATAACTGTGGGGCACTTGCTACGATGGCCTCAGACATGCCCCCACCCCATGCAGCCAGCCCCCCTCGCCTGGTCACATCACCCTCCTCCTAACAGCCAAGCAACATGTCCTTCTAAGTCATAAAAACCCTGAGTAAGAACAAAATGCCATAAAGCCATGAAAGCTGACTGAGGTTGGGATCCAGGACCTGTCCCCCGCTGGCTGTGTGACCTTGGGCGAGAGCATTAAGGCGCACACAGGTCTCTCTACGGTTGTTAGCTTTAGATATCTCTGTGTGAAATGGAGTCCTGCCACAAGGAGGCGATGTCCATGGGGTCACATGGATGGGGGCAAGTGGAAGGGGCCTGACAGGGTTGCAGGTGTGGACGGTGCCTGGTGTGAGGCAGGCATGCAGCACACTGCAGCTACTGCGTTGGGCACAAATATCTCAGTAGGAGTATAAGGGTCAGTGAGCATTCCTCTTTCCAAAAGGATTCCGTGTTTCAGAAAGCGGGAGAAAGATGTGGCCCTGGGCACAAGCTATTCCTCCAGCCAGAGGCTTCCAAGGCCCAGGCCGACCCAAGGCAAAGGCGATAGGTGTGAGGGGAGCAGGCACACCTGGGCTTCCTTCTCCTGCTTTGTCAAATTCAAAAACATCTGTGCGATCTCTCGGTCGAACACTCTCACTCGGTCCCAGTCCAACAGGAGAGATCTGTCTTTATCAGTGTTAACCTGCAGGAAGAAGAACGAAAGGTGAACATACAAGTAATCAGGTGAGCCCATCACCAGGGAAAGAGCTGGGACAGACAAAGCTGGTCCTTGTCTAAGGTCTCACAGCTGTACCTGTTCAGCTCAGGCTGAAGCTCCTGAGCCCCTACCTCCCACACCGTCCCTGCCCACCCCCAACTCGTGGCCTGCACTAGGTAGGTCCCCCAGGAGTCCCCGGCCCCACGTCAACCAGAACAGCTCCGTATCATGCTCTGTATCTTACGGTGAGCTCCCAAGGAGGCTTTATGTGAAGAAAGGGTTGTAAAAAGTTTGGAAGCGGCCGGGCGCGGTGGCTCACGCCTGTAATCCTAGCTCTCTGGGAGGCCGAGGCGGGCGGATTGTTTGAGCTCAGGAGTTCAAAACCAGCCTGAGCAAGAGTGAGACCCCGTCTCTACTAAAAATAGAAAGAATTAATCGGATAACTAAAAATATATAGAAAAAATTAGCCGGGCATGGTGGCGCATGCCTGTAGTCCCAGCTACTCAGGAGGCTGAGGCAGAAGGATTGCTTGAGCCCAGGAGTTTGAGGTTGCTGTGAGCTAGGCTGACGCCACAGCACTCTGGCCCGGGCAACACAGTGAGACTCTGTCTCAAAAAAAAAAAAAAAAAAAAAAGTTAGGAAGCCAAGGGCCTCAGTCCAGTGCTTGGACCTGACTCCCGCAGCTGCTGGCTCCCTCGGGGTGCCCTCACCCCGCACTGCCAGAGCTGAACTTGTTCCCACTTATCCAAATTCAACACAGGCCCAGCCTAGTGCCACTGCCCTCATGGAGGCTGAGGTCCCCCTTCCCTGGACACCGCAGACCGGTGTTGGTGACAGCCGTCCCCACTTTTGCCCTCAGCCCAGGGCCTGCAGGATGACGCTGCTGGAAGACTGTCAGAATCCATGCCCCAGCCCAGGAAGCCCCAGCATGAAGAGAGAAGGGCAAGGAACCTTGGCCTGCAGCACCCAGTAGGTCTCCGGTTTGAAGGACTGGATTTTATCATGTCTCTCCACACAGAATCCCAGGGTGGGAGTCTGACATGGCCCGAAGGAGATGAGAGAGCTGTCTAAGTCACCGTATTTCCCCTGGAAATATTTAGTCTGAAACCTGGAAGGAGTGGTGGGGTGGGAAGGGGAGAGAAAGATATTTCGGTCATGACTTCACTCAAGACACTATAGTGAGACACTGTGAGTCCAGCCCGGGGCTAGGGGTGGTGTGAGGGAGGTGGCAGGGGCGGTGGCTCCCACTTAGAAGACCGTGAGAGAGGCAGAGCGATCATGGCCTTCAGGGAGGAATAGGGTGTGAGCAGGTGTGACGGAGAGAGGGGACAGAAGTTCCTGCCATCTGAGGCCAGGGAGCCTCCCATTCTATTCCATCCACCGCACACTCTCCTAAGGACCCCAGAGTGCACACGAATACTCTTTGTTTATCAAGCAGTAGCCTGTGGATCCCCGTCAGCTAAATACACAATTTTCTTCAGGGTTTTTAAAATGGTGGAATCATCTACTGCTCATCTGGGCTCCAAGAGGCCAGGGGGCCACAGATGGGGACCAGCAAAGGCAGGCTCTGGCCAAGGAGGGGGCGAGGTGTGCCTGGATCCCCTGTGCAGTGTGGCCAGCACCTGGTGAACGCACAGCCGATGCGCAGGTCCAGCTCCTGGCGGGCGTCCACCGAGAGTGCCTCGTTGTGGTCAGGCTCGCCCAGGCGGGCCATGGCGTTGCAGATGTCCGTGTCTGTGATGGAGCTGAACCTAGCCCGGAACACTGTCTTCTCTCCACTGTGGGTCTTGTTCATGACAGGCAGAACAGCATCAAGGACCTGGGGGAGGGCAGCTGGCTGTGACCCACCTCCCAGATCTCTGCTGCCCACTTTACACCCCACTGTGAGGCCTGGCTCCTTCCAGGGCGGGGCCTGCTTGTGTGTGCAACCCCCTCTCTCACCCCTGCCAGACCCTCTCCCATCTGCCTGCCTTTCCAGAAGCCTCAGGCCCTCTACAACACCCTGCCACATGGCCCCCTTTCCTCCCATCTACAAACACATTCAAACATCCCTGTCTGACGACTCTCTCTCTCCTTATCCTCTGCTTTCATCCCGCCAAATCAGAAAATGCTACTGCCAAGCACTTAAGGGACCTTATAGTCCCCAAATCCATCCCATGTGACCCATCTCCCCTCCTAGGAGGATGCAGCGCTTGGAGGGTTGGGTGAGACTTTTAAGAGACTGGAGAAGAGACAGGGAAGGAAAAACGAATAAAGAGGACAGGAAACAGGAAGCAGTGGGAAGGCCTCAGGGGGCCCTGGCTCACGGGTGGGGTCTGGGCAGCTTGGGCAGCACAGTGGGATCCTAGAGCCGAGACACACTAAGGAGGCTATGCAGTGGGAGGGGTCACCGCCGGAGCCTGGCCATGCAGCTTCTTGATGGGGAAGCAGTGGTTTGTTTCTGAAGGGAGAAAGCCCCGTGAGCTACCACCATTCTCCTTCCCAAGATGCAAGGACGCCTGGGGAGGAGCAGCCCTGCAGGGAAGGGACGGCAGAGGGTGTCTGGGAAGGGACAGAGCATCACCAGGTTTGCTGAGGGTGCTGCCCAAGCCCCATGCTCACCCCCCCGCTGTCACACTGGACATCTCCTGAGCCCAGGCGTGGGGTGCAGGGGCAGGGGGTGACCCAGAGGGAGCTGACGATGGAGGGGCACCAGGTGAGACCCGCAGCCATGACCCGTCTGAGGGTGCCATGGCCAAGGCAAGCACGGGGCAAGGGGAGCTGCCACCTGCTCCCTGCAGGGAGGGCCCCTGGGGGTGGCTGAGAGGTGGAGCCATCCTGGGAGGGGCAGAGGTGGGGGTAGGAAGAATGAGGCCTGCAAAGCAGCCCAGTGCTGAGGCCAGGCATCTACCAGCCTCAACTGAAGATCCCTTAGAGGTGCCCAAACCCACCCACTCCTTGAGACAGCCCCATTCTGAAATTTTCATCCACCTAGAAAATTCTGCCCTATGTTCGCTTATACCATGCATCCCCAGCAAGTGAAGTAACACTTGATCACTCCTCATGGAGTCTATCCATTTTAAAGTGTCTACGGAATTTCAAAATAAAGGCGGTGAAAGGCGTTTCCAAACCAATGTAGTTTATTCCCTCCTCTGGCCCCAGGTATGGTGTGACTGCGTCAGTCTGGGGATGGTGGCAAAAAGGCCAAAAGCAAGGACCAAAGTGGGCTCCGAACTCACCTCAAAGCAAATGTTCTCCCCTTCCTTGTCGCAGTCCAGCCACAGCACGATGTAATCGCAGCCTCTGCCCTCCACCTGCCACACAGCACACATTTACACGCCTGCCGCAGGCCGGGCTCTGTGCCACCCAGGCCTGGCGCTCCCATCCTGGACAGGAGGCAGAGCCCATGCCCAGGTGCCTGAGCCTCAGTTAGGAGGACGGGTGCCCAGGCTGGGCAGGGAGCCGGCTGCAGTGAGGCTGCCTCAGCCACTCAGAAAAGAATTTAATTCATAACTGCTGTTTTTTGGGCCAAAAAATATATACAATTGCAATATGATCTTAACCCCCAAAACTGCATAGAAAAAGGTTTAAAATGAAATAACCCTAAATGTTAACAGTGGTGGTCTTGAGGTAGTGTAATTATGAATAATTTTTTTATTTCTACTTATCCATATTTTCCAATTTTCCATAATGGGTATGCATTTGTTTTAAAATTGGGGGGAGGGGAACCCAAACAAACACAGTATTTCATAAGAAGAGTGCTTGCTCTCCAGGACCAAGTGAGGCAGGTGCCACAGCTGGTGGTGTGGGGACGCCCAGGTCTGCAGGGGCCTCGTGGGCCAGCAGGGGGCACTCACAGAAAGGGCAGCAGGCTGCCCAGGGCTGCCAAGAAGGCCCCTCTGTTCAGGATGGGGATAAGGACTCAAGTCATGGTGGGCAAGGCTGTCTGCAGCCGCCCGCTGTGCAAGGAGTAGGGCTGGGGGTCCCGGTGTGCTCGTGCCCAGGTGGGCCCCACGTACCTGCAGGAACTTCACCATGTTCAGCTTGGGGTTAGCTTCCTTCTTCTCTGTCGGAGCTTGGCTGAACAGCTCTGCGGGGTCCACCTTGTCCCACTTGTTGTACTTTCCTACAAGCCACAGCCACAGTGACATTGAATCATACTTCATGGCTCACAGGGTCTTGCCCTCCGAGACCGTCATAACTCCAGGACGACAGTGGCTTCATTTCACAAATAAGGAGAGGGAGGCTTGGAGAACCATGTGCCCAGGGTCACCCCGACAGTCAGGGATGTGAATTCAGGCCTTTGGGTAACTCCTGCCCACCAGGCCTTCCTTCTGCTGGGCTGCTGGGCTGATGCTAAACCCTGGCCACCTGCAGGAGCCATGAGGACTCTAGGCAGGGTTGCCGCTATGGCCTCGATTCGGGGACTCCCTGTGGCTGGCAGCACCATTCCTGGGCTGGTTTGCTTTGCCCGAGCACTGGACCACCCACTCGTGCCTTCTCTTGCTTTCACTCTGGATTTCTGTAACCCCCTCCCCCCACTTAGCACTTGATGGGGCACAACATGTGCTCAGCTGTTGCCCGTGGAGGGCCGATCCCTGGGCCTCAGGTCTGGCATATCCGCCTACTTCCCTGCTTACAGCCTGGCTCTTGCAAGTTCTTGCAGGTCCCATTTCTCACAGCCTGGGAGAATGGGGTCAGAGAGCCAAGTTCAAACTCTGGCTCTCCACCTGCCTGCTGGAGATAAAGCTTGGGGTCCAAATGCTCAGCCACACAACTCAGTCGCCATCGCTCAGTCATCGCTGAGCAGCAGGAACAACTACTGAGGCTTTGCTGTGTGCCAGGCCCTGTGCTGAGTCCTCGACCTTCGCCATCACCCTGAGTCCTTGGCAATCCTGGGAAGTAGATGGCACTTACAAGGCCCATTGCACACGTGGGAAATGGAAACGCACAGAGGGCCAGTCGCTGCCCCAGGCCAGCAGCGCAAGGGAACAGCCCGGTCAGACTCCTGTCAACCACAGAGCCCTGCAGCTAGACCTGGTGGGTCACTAATGCTGGCCCTTATGAGGTGATGAATAGTAATATGAGGATGACAATAATAGCCACCAAATAACCGATGGACAACAGTCAACTCAGCAGGAGCGGCAGCCCTCTCTCAAATGCCTGCATGGGCCTAGGATGGGCCCTACCGCCTGTCTGCACAGGAAGGCGCCCAGGGGATGCAGTGGCTAAGGGTGCTGCCGTGATGGGGATCCAGGGCTACTGAGCGCTGGAGCCTCGTTCTGGGCCCCTCACCCAGTGATCCCCCATCACCACTCCACGATCTGCTGGCCTCCTGACTCATGGATTCTGGACAAACTTCTGTGCACAGAGGCGTCCCCTGGCTCCAGCTGAAGCCTGGGCAGTGCCACGTAGGGCTCCCCTCAGCGGATGGGGAGGGGGCTCACCCAGGAAATCCAGGGTCATCACATGACCACAGACGGACGTCATCTTGAAGCACACCGGCTGGCCAGCGAAGGTCCCTGTGTACTCGTGGACTGAGCAGGCCCCGTTCAGCCCTTTGTGTGAGGACATGCTCCCTGGGGAGAAGCACACAGTGACGGCTGCTCCAGCAAGCTGCAGATGCCGTGGAGATCCTGGGGCCCCAATGCTGCCTCTTGGAGGGCCTGAGTCCCCCCTCCCCAGAGCAGTCAATGAGAACACTCCTCAGGCTGCTGTGGGCAATCGGGCACAGACAGATGTAACTGTGCTCCAGGAAACAGCATCTGTGAACAATCTCGCATGGTGTGCTCACTATGCAGAGCCTGGGGAGACGGGAGCAGACACTCTCGGGCTCTTTCTCTGCATTTCTGCCTCACTTCATTCACACTTTACTCATAGGTTACCAGGGATCTCCTAAATTATCAAATCCCATGGTGTCTTCTCATTCTCCACTGATGGCCCCAAAACCATACTTTCTTGGCCTCTGGGGAACGGGCACCGTTCCTTAGGTCTCCTCTGCCCCGTGGACCATGCCTTCTCAGCTCTACTGGGATCTCTTCCTCCCCCAACCACTGGACCAAGGGGTGGTCAAGTGGATGCTGCCATTTCTGGGTACCAATATACAAATACCCTTTCCATTTGGAGGAAATTCAAAGATAGGAAGGGAAACAGCATCCCCCCAACCACCCAGTGGCCAAAGTGGGAGCAAAGGGCAGACATGCCCTCTCCAGCTCCCTGGTAGCTTGACCCATCAGCTGCTCTTAAGTGACGTGAGGTCCAGAAGGCAATGGTGAGTGTCTAGTGTGACCATGTCAGGGCATGGCCTCATCAGACTTAGACTGGGATAGGGTCCTGGCTGTGTCTCCTCTCTTCCAGGGTTGGTTTCTGCTGCTTGTGACCAACAGCCCTGATTGGCACAGCACTCTGAAGAGGACTGCACCTCCTCTTCATTGTGAACTGGGCCTCAATCTTTTTGGGAGCCCCAGCCATGGCACCCGCCAGGTGGAAACAAATGCATCTCAGAGTGACTAATAGCAAGGTGCTTCGTTAACACCTGCTGGCCTGAATCCAATGTATCCCAGCCAGAGTGGAGTCACAGGGTGCTATGTCCTGTAAGGCACAGACAACCATTCTCACAGACCAAAGCAATACAGTGTAGGGCTGGTCTTTCCTACCTCGAGAGAGGATTTTGGCAATGGACTGCGCCAAGGATGGCTTTTCTGCAACCATGAGCACAGTCTTCATCTTCCCTCGGCCCTCACACTCCAGCTTCAGGACAACGGCAACGAAAAATTCAGAAACTGCTCTTCTGCAGCCCAGCGCTACAGTCAGTGTGACTCCTAAACAGAAGAACGGACACTCAGGAAACAACAACGTCTTCCCATGGAACCTATACCACTAACAAGGACACTCTTTTTAACAAACAAAACAAGACAAACCTGAGGCAAGGATGAGAAAAATTAGGGAAACTTGAAGACATGTGACATACAAACAACTGACCAGGTCAACTGAAGTGGCTCAGTCATCCACTGGGAATCTGGCTTCACTTGGGGGAAGCTGAAGTGGCCCCAATGATCTCAGGTCAATTTTGTCCTTAAATCCACGCTGGGAAGATGCTGGGGCCTATGTACCTGGACTGACGGCAGGGGCAGGTGGATCCCTGGATCTCCTCCCCGGGCTGGTCGTCCAGTCCCCAACAGAGGTCAAGGGGCCCTTCATGTCTACTTTCCTGCCTTCCCCACTCTACCTCTCACTCTGCAGGCCATGCTCTGGCCAAATTAAATTGGACACCATCACCTAAGGAAAAATACATTTGAAGCCTCTGTGCCTACGTCCCCTTGCCAGAAGTATTCCCCGAGGCCTGGAGGGTACAGCTGGACTGCCCACAGGCCCGGCTCAGGCGCTGACCCTCCTTTATGGAGCTCTCCCAACACCCCTGGCAGGATGAGCTGGCCTCTCCTGTGCCCACAGCTCTCGTCCTACGTCTCTGTTCCGACTGAATGCACACCACGCCATGGCCAGTGACTGCCTCACCCCCAACAGGACACACGAGGCTTCACATCTGAATCACTGACGGCATTTGCAACAGCTTTCGCTGCCTGGCACACATTTCATACCTGCTGGCTGAGTAAAAGAAAACCATATGAACCCTTTCTGTCTTTTTGATCATTATAAACACAGCACTGGTGTTTATAAGCATAGCATTATATTTAAAAAAAGGCTTGTACTGAGACAACCTGGCACGCTTCTGGGGAAAAAAGTAAAGTTAGACTCATATTTCATAATCCACTAAAACAGATTCCAGATCTAGCAAAGATTTAAGTAAAAAAATGAAACCAGAAAAATACTAGGAAAAAACATGAACTTTTAAAATAATCCCAGTATGAAGAAAAAACACCTAAGTATTTCAAAACTCAGAAGCACTTGAAACATGTTTAAAAGCATTTGGTTTCCTTTTCTGTGAACTATCTATTCATATTTTCTATCCACTTTTTTCAGTTGGATTGTTATTTTCTAATTTTTAGGAGTTGTTTATATAATGAGGAAACGTGATATGAAATGACATCCACCGATACTCACGAAAGAAAATGAGAACTACGACGCGCTTTTACTCATCTCCCTAGCAGAGACCCAAAGTCCGAGTGCACGGCAGGTGAGGGCGCGGGGCAGTTAAACTGCAACAGCTTCTACGTGGGGCAATCTGAAGAAACCTCTCAAAACTTCAAGTGCACATCCCCTGCAATTCCACCACTAGGAAAGAATTATTCCAGTTATTTATCGAGCACCTACTATGTGCTCGGTCCAGTCTTGGGTGCAAGGAATAAAGCAAGACCAGGTCCTGTCCTTCCAGAACCCACTGCAGGGCTGGGGAGCTCGCATGTGGGAAGGGGAGGGGCGGGGCAGGGCAGGGCTGGGCCATGACACCTGGGAGAAGAGTCCAGGCAGAAGGACTAGGGGAGGTGAGGCCTGAGGGGGAGACGGTTGGGCAGGATGGAGGGACAGCAAGGAGGCCAGAAGGGCTGGAGGGAGCAGGGACACAGAACGTGGGGCCTCTGGGTCTTGGGCTGGCCTCAGGGAAGTCGGGAGGCAGCAGAGTCCATACGGGTGGGATGATCTGACTTCAAGTCTTAAAGGGACATCTCCAGCTGCCATGCAGGTGACTGGGCCCTGGGTGGAGGCTGTCAGAGTCTGGGCAGGCCTGGGCTGGGGGAAAGTAGGCAAGTCAAGAATGACTCTGAGGCTGCGGGATTAGGCAGGAAAGGAAGGAAATGGCAGCTCGGGGTGGAGCTGTGGGAGCACAGTTCAGGCGTGTTGACTGTGCGCTATCAGACGGCCTGGGGGTCGGGAGATGAGGAGCCAGCAGTGGGGGTCAAAAGGGGTGAGGGTTCCAGGAAAGAGCACAGTAGGGCAGCCATCGCCGTGTCAAAGGCTACTGACAGGCAGGGTGAGGTGGTAGCTGAGACCTGACCATGGGGTCTGGCAACATGACAGTCCCTGGTGACCCTGATGGGGGCTGTTTGGTGAGTGACAGAGGTGAATGCTGCGCGGCTGAGTTTAAGAAAGCCCGGGAGAGGGGAGTGCTTTTCCCTCTTAGGCTGGAAGATATGCCAGCATGTTCTACGCTGATGGGACTGGTCCAGCAGTGAAGGAAAAGATGCAGGCGAGAGGGGAGGGAACTGCTGGGGTGATGGCCCTGGGTGGGCCAAGGGGCAAGAGGCAGCCAGTCAGTCAGGGTCTAGAGAGGAGGGGCAGTGTCCAGTCAGAGCAGGGGGCAACAGGGTCACATATCCCTGGACGGAGGAGGAAGCACGGGGCAGCTGTGCACTGAGGGGGACAGGTGGTGCTGGGGGCAGGCCCGCAGCAGGGGAAGGGCTGGATTTAGATGGGATAGGCCAGGTGACTGGGAAGGAGAGGGAGCCGGCAGGAGCGCGGGGGACGATTATAGGGACAGACCCACCTCTGAGATAGGTAAGGAGGGAGGTGCAGGCATGGGACGGCCCACACAGGGTATGTTCTGTGGGGTCCAAGAACTGTAAAGTGAGAGTCAAAGGAAGCAATCCCGGGGTGGGATGCTGGGGCGGGGATTGCGGAGGGGCTCAGGCAGTGCTGACCCAGGGGGTGTGTGAGGGCCCCGAGAAGGGTAGAAGGCAAGGTCACCAGGGGAGAAGCGGCCACTGAGTTGGGTGGCAGGCCCTGAGGAGACTGGGACAGGGCAGCACTGGAGTGACCTCAGGCCAGACACAGTGGAGCCTGGGACTAAACACACTCTGGGGAATTCTCTGTAGTATTATGGTTCATGATAAAAGATTAGAAACAACCTAGTGTCCCTCTGTAGGGAACTGGTTAAATGAAAGTACGGCATTTACACACAATGCAACACTCTGCGGCGTGAGAAAGGAATGTATCTGCTCAGTAGACAGTAACGTGAATGAGATCACGGAGGTAAAGTAGGTGGCTGTATGATGGCATGTACAGAGCGCTGCCATCTGTGAGCTCACACACACGCGTGCACGTGCACACGCTTGTTTATAAAGAGCAGACTCGTCTGAGTAGAACCCAAAACAAAGCAGTCTAATGAAAAAGAACTAAGACAATGGATTTATAAATAAAGAAAAAGTAAAGCCCAAAATATAACAGAGGGCTGGAAAGGGCATCATTAAGAAAGGATGCCACCAGAGCCTCCTTCGCTAAAGCGGCATGTGCAGAAGTGGCCCGAGGGCTGAGGTTTAAAGGAGACCCAGGGACTCCTCTTCTCCCACCCAGAGAAGCCAGAGGGGAAAGTGGCAGCAGAGGGGGATTGTTCTGTCGCCTTCCAAGGTAAGAAAAAAGTTTTGTCCTAAAATGTTTCCTCAGAGTTTTTCATGTTTGTGTCATAAAGTAGCCAGCAATTATGAGCTGCCAACCCTGTCCCCCGCTGTAAGAGACCACAGGACTATAATGAAATCAGCAATCTCTATAAGAAAGCTGCCCTGAATAAAACAATTTGCTTTTTTGCTCCAAAATAATACTTGGATGTTCCCCCTAAATACACAATTGGGCTGGATGTGCTCGCACACACCTGTAATCCCAGCTATTCGGGAGGGTGGGGCAAGAGAATTGCTTGAGGCCAAGACTTTGAGACCAGCCTGGGCAACATAGTGGGACCCCTATCTTTAAAAAAAAAACCAAAACAACCCTACATACATAATCATCCCAGAGAAAAAGAGCCGAGATCACCCAGAATGACGACGCTGGCAGTCTGCAGACGAGCTCACCAGCCCGTGACAGCTCCAGATGCATCTCGCACTGCCCTGCTATGCACTCTCCAACCCTCCCTCCCTGTGTATCATGGCTGTTCCTGCCTTTGGGCCTCTGCCTAGCCACCTTTTCCCATTAGTCTGCTTGCTCTGACTCCCTGTACTCCTGGTATCATTAGTCTGTTTCCCCCATGATCATGTCTAGTTCATTGTTGTATCTCTGGCACCCAGCGAGCACTAAATGCTTGACGAATTAATGAATGAACAGCAAAAGCTGTTGTGACTTGGCCCCTGCTTTCCGTTCTGGGAAAATTTTGGTCCTGCCAAAGTCAGAGACCCAGAAATGAGGTTTAAAGGAGACCCAGGGAATCCCCTTCTCCCACCCCAAGAAGCCAGAGGCCAGAAGGGAAAACGCAGCAGAGAGGGACTGTTCCCAAAAGTAGGAAAAAAGTTTTGTTCTAAAATGTTTCCTCAGATTTTCCGATGTTTGTGTCACAGAGTAGCCAGCAGTTGTGGCACAGTGATGACATGCCAGGCACCAGGCAATCCTGCCAATGCCCTTGGGAGAGGGTGCTGCCACCGTACTGGCCTACAGTGGGAACTGCAGGGTCAGAGAGACCAGAGCCTGAGTGCCAGGACATGGATTTGAACCTGGGCCTGTTTGTTCTAGAATCTACGCTCTAAGCCTGATCCTGTCCAACCTCTATAAGCATCCTGAACAGAACAGCAGCCCTGCTTTGCTTCCCTGTAGCACCTACCACCGTGCATGATAGAGCCTCCATCTACTTATTTGGTTCTTGCCTTACAGCTCCTAGAACATAAGCAAGCTCCGGGAGAATAGGGCTTTTACTTTGTTCACTCTAATGGTAAGCAGATGGTGAGAAAATACTGACTGGATATATAATACAGAGTAATTGTACCTGCAAAGTGAAGAATAATAATGCTTTTAGATCTCTAAAATTTAAAAACTGACTTTAAATCTGTAAGAGTACCGCAAACACTTCTCAATGTTCTTTTTTCCCATGGTGTCAAAGTCTCTGAAAATGTCCTATCTTCACCACTCCCCTTTGCACCTAAGATCCTAAGTTTTTCAATAAAAAACAGATTGACAAATCCCTTCAGAGAGAAACATTTTGCCTTAGCATCTTAAAGGGGATCACCCCATTTACCCAGGGACAGGGATGAAATCGGGCAGTTTACACAAAGGCACATCTGTCCCAATTTCAGATTGCCTGTCTACCTGTCAGACTGTGCAGTTATAATTCATGTGTGACACACACCTGTCTTTAATAGCTCTGGCTCTAAAGACATAAAAGTTCTAGTTTGGCTGGGCACGGTGGCTCACACCAGTAATCCTTGCACTTTGGGAGGTCGAGGTGGGAGAATTGGATTGCTTGAACTCAGGAGTTCAAGACCAGTCTGAGCAACAGCGAAACCCCGTCTATACTAAAAATAGAAAAAATTAGCCAGGGTGTTGTGGCACGTGCCTGTCCTTCCAGCTACTAGAGAGGCCGAGGCAGGAAGATTGCTTGAGCCCAGGAGTTTGAGGTTGCATTGAGCTACGATGATGCCACTGCACTCTACCCAGAGGACAGAGGGAGACTGTCTCTAGTTCAACACTTTATATTAATACATTAGTGTTGCATGAGTACTTTGTAATCTTTTTTTTTTTTTTTTTGAGACAGAGTCTCATTCTGTTGCCCATGCTAGAGTGCCGTGGCGTCAGCCTAGCTCATAGCAACCTCAAACTCCTGGGCTCAAGTGATCCTCCTGCCTCAGCTTCCCGAGTAGCTGGGACTATAGGCGTGCACCACCACACCCAGCTAATTTTTTCTTTCTGTTTTTAGTTGCCCAGCTAAGTTTTTATATTTTTAGTAGGGACGGGGTCTTGTTCTTGCTGAGGCGTCTTGAACTCCGGACCTCAAACAAGCTTCCCACCTCGGCCTCCCAGAGTGCTAGGATTACAGGTGTGAGCCACCGCGCCTAGACTGTTATGTTCTGAATATCACTATTTTATTGGAGAAAAAACATCCCTTCCTTCAAGGGTATGGAATCATAATGGAATACTGGGGAAAGGGGCTTTGGCAGCTATTGGTACAACCACTTCAAAGAAGAAGAATAAACTAAGGCTCAGAGAAAGTGATTTTCCAAAGGTCACCTGTGAAATTTGCCAAATGGGGACTGAAACTCATGCTTCCTGACTCCCAGCCAAGGGCACTTTTCTTTAACTGAACCAGGTTCCATCTCTTCAAAATGTCTGCGATCTTACCTGTGCTTAATTTTCTGTGACTAACCTTGGAGCCTCCCTATTATTCCATTAAGGCACATCTCCCATTTCACAATGGAAGCCTACGAGAACAAAACCTGAAAGCAACAGTTTGCAAGCTTCATTTACACACCATCATCACACTTTTGCCTGACCAACATTATTATTCACTTTAAGTTCTTGCTTTTTATTTTTAAGCTTAAATACATAAAAATGGCCAGAAAAAGGTTCTTTACAAGTAACCTACTTAGTACATCAGGTTCGATCTTGTTGCCCCCCAAAGCTCTGAGTCTGCAATTTGTCCTAATTTAAAAAGGGAGATTGGCAAGTGCTTAAAAATTGCTAATTGTTGACAGGGAACACCCTGAATTGGGACTATAGTTAGAAGGACTGAAAGTGAATTAAAGAGGGAGTAGCAGGTTAGCCTGTTAGTACCCTGTCAATTCTAACCAGCAATACTACCTACAGTATGTGTGTTTTGGGGACACCGCAAATATAGAAATTTCCTTTCAGGTCAGTGTCTTATGAACCAGCGGATGTGGCTAGGCAGTGGAGGCCTAGCAGTGGTCTGAATACCATTAAAATTCCAAGGATTTTTCACCTTAGTAACTTTACCAAACACCTACAGAATCAGGAAAAGAGAGAAACAATGACCATTTCTTAAGCTCCTCCTCTGTACTAGGCGTGTCAGAGCTATAAACACTACTTTATTTAATTGTGCCAACAACCCTATAAGGCAGGCATTTTAATTTTTTAAAAGCATGTGTAAATTGACGTTCAGAACACTGCTCTCTAGCCATCAAGCCTAAGGTAGGCTGGCCTCTCACATCCTGTTCCCAAAGGCAAGAGGGATAAAAAAGGCAAGAGATCATCTTCTTTCCTTTCACCTCTGCTAGAAATTACTGCCCTTGGATTGTAGCTGATTTCTTTATAAAGTATCCTCCCTCATCTACAGGTAACAGGTCAGAGAACCCAGGTGCCCTCAAGACCGAGCCAGGGTCCAGGAGACAGCGAGTGCGAGTGGAACCTGCCTGGGAGTGGACCACGCCGACCTGGGCCCCCGCAGCTGCACAGCCTCCCTGAGCCTCAGTTTCCCTACCTGTGAGATTTGGACAACACTTCACCTCAAAGAGCTGTGGGAGGGTTCGCTGAAGAAGAGTATTAACCGCAGGGCCTGCTCCCTCCAGGCAGAGAGCTAAGCGCTGGCCCATCACCCCTTCCCTGAGTCCCGCAGCAAGCCCCGAGGGCGAGGGTCACCCCAGCTAGGCAAGAGGCGACGAGAGTGTAGAGCCCGCGCCCCAGCACAGGGGGCTGCGCCCGGCCCGCATTCAGGAAACACGCCCGAAAAAGGCCCGCTCTTGCAGCTTCTCTGACCTGCCCAGCGAGAGGACCTTCGCCCGCCGCTCTCCCGCAGCCCCACAGGGGTTTCCGCTCCGACTTTTGCTCCCGGGGCGGCCACCGGCAACCCCTACTTCCGGGTCCAGCGCTTCTGGCGTCCCCGCGTTCTGCGCGCCAGCGTCTGCCCTCCGGCTCCCGCGCGTCGGCGTCTGCGGGTTCCGTGGGTAGCGGGTTCCGTGGGTAGCGCGTTCCGGGGGCACCGCCGGGCGTTGGTCCTTCCACGCCGCGGACCGCAGGGGCCCCCCAAACTTCCACCCTGACCCGTCTCCGCCGCAGTCCGCAGAGGGTCACCAAACCCTTCCCGCCACAGGGACACAATAATGATAATTTTCATTACAATGACTATGAAAACTGGCATGAAAATATGTAATATCTGCTGTTAATAATTAAAATAATAAAAAACTTCAGATGCGTGTATAGCAAGCTTCCTTCAATGCTATAGATATTTTTTGTATGTTACAGCATTAGGATTATAGGTTTGTCTTCACGATCTTATTTTAATTTATTTTACATAATAACGAACACACATTTCCTTTGCTCCCTGTAGACACTTTCCCCAATCTGCCTTTACTGGAATACTAACCCCGATAGATCCTCTGGAAAAAGAAAAGTTCCATGGAAAAATGAAGGTTTGGAAATGCCACAAATTAAGAGTGGCAGTGAGATTTTGCTTTCAAAACAGAACTCCCGGTTCCAAACCCACTCCTTGATAGGTTCTCCATCTCCAAAATGGCAAGGGTGGCAGAGAGGCAAAACCGGAGGCCTTCTGCTCATCTAGTCTATCCATTGTCCAGGGTTCATTCTGCAGAGCCTGAGGAAGGACCGAGGCCTGGACCCAGCAGGGGACGGGATGCTCAGTGGTCAGCTCTGGAGGCCTAGGTGTCTCAAGATGTTCTTGGAGCTGAGAAATTGCAGCTGCCTTGTGCGGTCTTCCCAGAGAGCCCTGCAGCTGACCATCCCTCCCCACCGCCAACATTTCCCCAACCTCCCTGTCAGCTTGGATCAGGGCCTCTCATGGACCCTTAGGTTGACAAATGACCCAGATTGAGAGGAACCCTTTGACTTTTTGGAGGTCCCCTTCCAGTGTAACTCCCAACCCCCAGGTGCATTCTGACCAGGGGAACAGTGGCCTAGGGTCAACTTAGCTGGAGGGGGCTTTCCTCTTCCTCCATGGCTAGGAAGAAACTAGGCCCACTGGCTGCAGGAAGAGGAGAATCCCAATTCGTACCCACCAGGGAGATGACCTGGGGAATGCTTCTGATTGGTTGCACCTGGGTCAGAAATCCTGCCTTTGATTCAAGTGGGGGCCAAGAGGCAAGGTCAAGTGATTCATGGGGGCCACCGCTGGGGTAGGAGGATGGGGGCCACCGCTGGGATAGGAGGATCGGAGCCCTGGGCTTCTCAGGAACCAGGCAGCCTCCACCCAGCACTGAGACTGATCTCTACTGGAAACAGTCCAACTCCTCAGCCAGCCTTGGGTGGGGCAGGGCAGGGGAGAATCATTAAGGCTCCATTTCCTCCGCCCCCAGCCATCGAGAAAATCTGCTTTACTACCTTTAGAACAGGGCTCTCCAGCAGGGCAGGTCAATTTACCAAGAAGATATAACAGTTCTAAACCAGTATGCATATAATAAAATGTTCTCAAACTATATAAAGCGGAAATTGATAGAACTACAGGGAGGAACTAACAAATCCCCTATCATGGTAGGTGATTAATACAGATCTATTGATTAGCGATATCACCTAGTGAACATATATACAAAATCTAAAACCATAGCAAAATAAATCCGGCAGAATATTAAAAGGACAATATGTCATGATCAGGTTAGGGTCATCCCCACAATGCATTTTAATATTAGAAAATCTATTAGGTTGAACTAATTAAAATTGTGTTTTTATTGGTCAAAAATGGTCAAATATCAGCAATTTGATATTGTTTTAATATAAATATCATTCACCACATTAGGACATGAAAGAAGAAAGTCATGTTATTATCTTAATAGAGGTAGAAAAGGCATTTGGTAAAATTTAATACCTGGTGTATAAAGTAAGAGAAGAAAAAAAGAAATAAAAGGCATAAGGATTGGAAAGGAAGAAACAAAAGTGATCTGCTGATAATATGATATTCTACTAGGAATACCAAGAAGAATCTATTGATAAATTAACAGAAATAACAAGAGAGATTTACCAGATAACTGATTAAAAGATCAATATCCAAAAGTCAATTTCATTTCTATATACCGGTGACAATTAGAAAATGTAATGATAAAAAAAGGCATTTACCTAGCAAAAACCATCATGTAGTATCTAGGGATAAATTCACAAAAGTTTTTAAAGATCTAAATGGGGAAAAGTATAAAACTATAAATCGTAAATAAAGAGCCCATGTTCATGGATAAGAAAACTTAGTATCATAAGAATGTCAATTCTCTCCATACTGACTTTTAGATGCAATGTAGTTAAAATAAAAATCTGAGTAGGATCTTTTTTGAAATTTGACAAACAGATTTTAAAATTTACAGAAAAGAATAAAGGGCCAAGAATTTCCTAGATTTCTAAAGAGGAAGGTTATTGGGTTAGGAGGAGGAGGAGAGATGGCTAGGAATGGAGGGAGACTTGGTACCAGAAACTGACCAACAAAAACAGAGAACAGGGAAACGGACTCGTGTACATGTGACTTTGAAATATGACAGAGGTAGCAATCAGGTCAGCGGAAATTGATGCCATAATAAATGGCTGTCTGGATGCAAAAAAATGAAATTGGATCCTTACCTCAGACCATATAGAAAAAAATGCCAGATGCGTTCAAAACTTAAATGTTAAAAGTAAAACTTTACAATTTTTATTTAAAAATGCAGTTCAATATGTTTCTGACTTAAGGTAGAAAATAATTTTATTTAAGAGATGAAGTCTTGCTATGCTGTCCAAACCAGCCTCGAACTCCTCTGCTAAAGCGATTCTTCCGCCTCAACCTCCTGGGTAGCTGGGACTACAGGTGTGCACGGCCACGCTTAGCTGTGGAAATGATTCCTTAAGCCACAAAGAGTGATCATTATAAAATAAAGAATTGATACAGTTGATTATATTACAATTAAGAATTTTTTTTAGCAAAACACACTTTTTAAAAAGTGAAGAAATAACATAAGCTACGACCTGGGAGAAGATATGACCAATACATAAAACTGGCAAAGGTTTAGTATCCAGAATATAAAAAGAACTGCAAATCAACACAAACAACGGAATGGAAAGATGGGTAAAAAAAAGACGTGAACAAGAATTTCATGGAAAGGAATTACACACGGCCAATAGACGTAGGAAGAAACATGCAACCTCTTTAATAAACAGGGAAATGTAAAATCAAAA